TTTATTGTAATTAGAAGTAAAAATTTTGATAATATGCACTCCATTATTTAAAGCTAAATTTTTCACTCACAGTTTCAGTAAATCCACGAAAAAATTCTAAATAATTAATTTTTTTTAAATAAACTTAAAATTATATTTCAATCAAATTGCATTATGATTTTTCAGTGCGATCCAACAGCCTAACCTTGCCAAACTGAAATTGTATAAAATTTAGTTTGGGCCAGGTAAAGCATTTGGGACAATCAATTTTTTTACAAATTTATTTAATATTTTTACAGGATTTCTCTTTAATTTCAAAACCCAGACATTTTTGCATATTATAAAATGAAATAAATTTAATTTTTTCCCTTTCAACTGAGTGACTGTTTAATTTTTTTGCACTTTTGTAATTAATCAGCTGTGCCACGAGTTAGAAAAAAGATGTGATTTTTTTGCAGCATCGGAAAAGTGCGGACGTCAAGTGCGGATGGTGGTTTCCCGCGCCTTTGGACGGAAGCGCGAATTATTCGCGGGGAAACTGGTGCCCCGCGCCGTGTGTATAAAAGCGTTGCAGCAGGTTTAGTGGAACAAAAATTCAGGTTGTGCGCGGCCGCCGTGCGCTGTAGTAGGGCGACCACCACATTCAAGGTCGGTGGCTTGTTTACCGGCGGCCATCTTTCAGATAAAACTCGCTAGCCCAGCCAGGTATAACCTTGACTCGAAGCACCTGCGAGGAAGGAAAGGGTCTCTCTCCGTCGACTGAGACCAACGCGCTCTGCCGATGCTTAATTATCGAGCCGCCAATATTCATTCCACCGTGCAGGCGACACTTCTTTTCTTTCTTTCGGCCGCCGCCACATGCGCCTTGGTGCCCACATTAAAAAAAAAAATAAATAAAATTCACCAAATTTCAGCAAGAGATATTTATTTCTATTTATCGTCTCATCGATGCAGCCATTGGCGCCGCCTTTGATTTTGCAAAAAGTTTAATTTGGTGAAAAAGTTAAAGAGAGAAGGTCGGGTTGCCAACCTTTCAATTCGCTGATGACATTATTTGCTGTAATTAAAGTCAATTTTTTTCTGAAAGACGATTTGCATGGAATAACTCATTAACCATTAAACATAAGAAAAATTACTAAGTACTTAACAATCCAAGTTTTTTTTTTAAATTTAATTTTGAAAATTCCTTTGTTTCGAAGTTTGTGTTTTGCGTTGTATGTAATAATATTTTTATACTTCTTTAGGATTAATATAAATCTAAATTATCAACTTATTCCTTATAAGTTTTTAATCCCAACCACAGAAGAAATTTGGCTCCTTGGAGTTTTTCACCTTATTTTTGAAGGACTGTTTATTTTTTAGTCAACCTTCGTATTGCAATGTCTTGCCAAAAGTTGAAAAAGCTCAAATTTAGAGCCAATTATATTAGTGCAGAATTAAAATTACAAAAGTAAACCTCGCCAATAAAAATACACTTCTTTTTAACAAATTAATTTTTAAATTTTGCAGAATTCATGCTCTGAAATTTATTTCGTTTTTTAATCAGAGACTTCTGACTTTAAATAATTTTGTACGTTAATTTTTGTTAAAAATTTGGTTCATGTTTCTGTATTATTGTGACGGAGAATAAAAGTGCTAAATTTTCATTCCATCGCAGCAATTAAAATAATATTAATTGTAGTCATAAAGGAAAAACTAAAGGCATGCGCATAACTTTGTATTGAATTGTAAGTCAAATAATAATTAATAATTACTTAAAATTAAAATTTAAGAGGAACATTTTCTCCCTTCTTAATAATAATTGATAAACTTACAAATGTTTCAAATAAAGATTTTGGCGATTTTTTTATTTGCAATTAATTAGTTTCCTTTTTTGTTATATCATACCATCATAGTTTTTCAATAAATGTGGCAATTTTAGAATTTTTTCTTATAAAAAAAATATTGTGCAAATAGAAAAAGATTTATTAAAAATAAAAATCCTGAAAGATTTATCCATTTCTAAGACCAAAATTTTCACTAAAAATAAACATGAAAATAATTTAAAACGGGGGGGGGGGGTGTATAGTTTTCAGGTAACATTTTATGAGGAAATTATAAAATATATAAATACATAAAAAAAATTATTTTTTTTGTACATGTGAAACAACTCAATTTGGAATTCTAACGGAAGAGGAATAATTTGTACTTGTCACGCAAATTCCTTTTTTTTTAATAATTCAATTTATCACCACTCAAAATGAATTTAAATTCATGCAAATTTCAACATGTGGCACTTCCTTCAACTGATTTATCAAAACAATTCCTCTCACAATCAGTCAACTTCCGCCTCATTTTGAATTTTTTTTTAAATTAAACGTTTTTTCCGCTCATATAAGATATTTATTTCAACGCACGTATAACACACACCGTGTGTAATTGGGCCATAAAAACATAAACCTGGTCGAGATTATACAATTTTCGCACAATTCGTATAATAGATGGCCCGCAGGCTCGCACTTTTGGCAGTTTAGCAAAAAAAAGAACCACTCTCTCCACTCCTCTCCTTTAAATCGAGAGGAGTCACGTGGACATGCAAATGGTCGCCATTAACGGACACACCGCCAGGCAAGTCGACTTTAAAAAAATCCAAACTGCAGCAATAATTTAATTTTCAAAATAAACAAATAAAAAAGAGTCGTTGAAAATTTTAATTGAGTGGTTAGAAAAGCGAAATTCCGTGGAAATGAGCAAGAATTTTGTTGGAATTGTATCACTTCATCACATCTGACACCAAAGCACTGTGAAAAAAGCGAGGCGTACAAAACTCGCTCACTCTCGCGGCTTATAAATATTTCAGGCACGAATTTTACGAGCAATGCAATAAAACTGATAAATTGCTAACCACAAAGCAAGTGCTCGGGCCCAATTGTTTGTTTATGTTTGCAGCCATAACAGCTGTTACAAGTTCTAAATTTTGACAGATTTAACGCGGATCTCTTCTCATTTCGTGTTTGGTTTTTTTCCACCGGATTAAAGAAGGAATTTCCTTTATTGATGCAGTTCTTATCGGACGTTTGTATATATTTTTATATTTTCCTCGCTGATAACGACAATACAATAACACACCGCACAAGCAAACAAACGCGTCTCTCTTGAATTTACTGATAGAGAAGTAGTTCCTTGTGCTGAATTTTAAACAGCTCGGTTTCTTCTGGCACGTCTTTATAGAAGCATAATTACTTTTGTGAATGAGTGAGGTGTGCGTCTGCCAATTACATAGATAACGCGTACACAAAGCGTTTTGAAAACGTGCCCAGCAATAACCAACGACATAAAAACAAACGCCCAATTAGCCAAATTGCTCAAGTCCTTTTTTATGAGGGAAATAATTAATAATTTAATTATATTTTAATTAAATTTCTGGGTCTTCAGTCTTAATTGTATAGTTTAAAATTTAATCAAGACACAAGTTTGATTTAAAAAAGACGTAAAAAAAATAATTATATCGGCTGGTCAGCAATTTTATATTCATTCGTTTGCGAAAAGAAAAAATAAGATTTTTTTTAATTATAGTTTCCTGTTTTACGTCAAAATTGTAATAAATACGCAATTTTCATTGATCAAAAAAATTTTTCCAAACAATAAAACATTAATTGATTATTTTTGTATAAATTTAACGGTCTAGATTGCAATTTTGGTTCACTCCACGGTTTATATTTAATAAGTCCTAACAACAATAAAAGGACATTTTTGAAATTTTTTACCTCTTGATTGTTATACAGATATATTATTGAGTTCTTAAAATTTAGCACAATTAATTTTCTAACTCAATTTTTCCCTCCACAAAGTAATTTGAAAACTGATTCTTTAAAAAATAATAATGAATTGCAAATTTTTAAATAAAATGTATTGTCTTTGTTTTGAAAACGGAACAATAAGCGTCAATTTCACTAAAAATAGTAAATAAAATATTTTATTGAAATTTAAAATTAAAATGGCCAATTTTTCATTTAAAAACTTGGAAAAAATATGCATTAAAAAATACACTTGCAAAGGAGCAAATTGTCTTACTTTTGTCCTGTCATCAAAGTATCGTTGAATAAGAAATTTTTATTAAACGAAAAATTAGTTAAGTCCGCCGATTTGTTAGGTTAATCACTGTCGGGGCCTCTTTTTCCAGGAATAGGCTTAAATTTTGAAAAGTAATCCGTGCGCCGGCAGTGCCGCAGCACTCTCGCTGTGTCGACGATATATAAATTTAATCCAGTCGAAAAACAGTGTAAGCCCCTCCCGAAAATAATGCATCCCTAATCACTAAAGCAGGCAGGGTGTACGTGGAGAGCTAGGACGCCCCAATCAACCGACCAACCAACCCCATCGGTCCGCTACTTTTTCCCTCGGCCCGGGCATGAGTCACCCACGTCGGGCCTCGTCAAAATCGAAACCGTCGAAAACCGTCCCGGGCCACCCCCGCGGAAACCCCTATTTTGAGAAAGAAAAAAAATAATAAGTAAATCAACAATTGCAGAAATATAAAATGGAGTAGAATTTATTTAGGTTTGTTTCGTCAGTCATACAAAATGGACACGAAATTAGAAAGGCTCCGGGATTGTTTCCGAGGGTGGAAATTCTCGAAACCTCAGAAATTGTGAAAAATTAAAAGTTGAAACTGTACAAATTTTTGTTCTGGTAATAATTTTTGAAGTGTCATCAAAAAATTGATTGATAAATTTTAAAATTTTAATCGAGTCGATCTATTCGATTGATTGGAGTATTTATATTAATATTTAATCAAAATATATAAATTACAGATGAATATATTTAATTGTGATGTATTTCTTTTAATTCTGGACAAATTCCAATAATTTCCAAAGCTGCGGTGCAGTTGGAAAGTTCTCCGACAGGGCCGAATTCGGCGCGTAAATCTCGAATAACCGCATCGATTCGTCCCGTGTGCGGCACGGAGGGCCGGAAATTTTGCAAACCGAGCCAAATTCAAGCGAGTAAAGCTTTTTTTTTAATTTCCAAAATTGTTATACCTGTGATTGTAAGGGTCGAAGGGTTGGTGGTGCTGCTGCTGCGGCGGAAACTGGTGGTGGTACATGCCGTTCTGACGCATGTAGTCGTACGAGCAGTACGGGGGCTCGATGACCCCGGCGGGGGCGGCGCCCCCGGGCGCCGCCGGGCCCGGGTAGGCCAGGCCGTGGTGCTCACCACTGGTGTAGGGGTTGGCGGTGGTCATTCAAGACGGGCACGGTGGCGTCCCCAACGAAAACAACTAACGAAAAACTGTAACGCGCACTGCACTTCTTCTTCTCCTCAGGGCGCACCTGCACTTCTTGCATCAACCTGTCTGCGGCACCCTGGCGCGAGTCGGTCCTGAACAAGTTCGTCGTAGGCAAAACCACGCTGCCGAACCGACCGACCGAGCGCAGCGAACATGAGCGAGAGCGACGAGGAGGTGGTGGAGGAGCGGCGCGGCGAGCCGAGCCAGCGACAGTGTGCTGTGTATGCCGGGATGGGAAGGGAACCATGGGCAAAAATGGGTGGGTTGGGGAGTGCACGGCACAGCAGCTCCGACCGACCGACCGACGGCGGAGGCGGGGAAGGCAACACACAGCGGCGGCGGGCGGGCAGCGCGAGGGCTCTTCGCCAGCGCCCACGGCCCTTTACTGAATACGGCGGAAGTCGAGCCAGCGCCAGTGCAATCATAATTGCCGGTTTCGTCGACGTTGGATGATTAAGTGTCGCGTAGAACACGTCGCTAAATTTTACACTAAAACAATTTTATTTAAAATAAAAAGATTCCTAATTATTGTGTTTATCTGTAGTTGTGAATAGATCGTGTTTTAATTTTTTGCTACTTAAATGATATTTTTTAATTAAGTCGATTAAGTTTTATTTTTATTTTTCTTATTACATTTATTTTTTTGAATTTTTTCAAATTGAGTTAAATATTTCAAATATTGAAAAATAAACAATTACTGCGATAGAGGCAAAAATTGAACTGTACAAATTTTTTCGTGAAAATTCTGAAATAAAAAAGATTTTATGCACCGCAGCATTATTATATAAGTAAAAAATAACACAGTAAAGAGAACTTACCCAAAAGCATACAACTTTTTTTCCTATATAGCTCTCTTATCTTCGGTGTGTACATATTTTTTCCGATATCATTTTCATTATTATTTTTTTCAGTATAAATGCATACACCATTTTCATTTTCAAGTTGTGATAAACAATTAAGTGAATAACACTCCTTTAATTAAGTATCACATATTTTTTTTTTTACAAAAACAGCAGAAAAAATGCATTATTTATTGCACTTCTTTCTTCTTTTAATTAAAAAGTTTGAAACTGTAGGAAATATATAGTCTGACAATAAGATTTTTTTTAAATAAATTTATTTTTTAATGCTGGACAAAAATGGGTATCAACAATGCAAATTAATCTTGGAAGCCAATTTTTTATTATCTTACGCTGTTTTATGATCTTCTCTCGTTGTTGCTAAAAGTAACGTCCGTAGTGACCGGATTATGATTTGTGATATTATTGGAAATTGTAAAACATTTTTATACATAAAACAATAAAAAAGCAGAAATTTTTGTCTACGTCATAAGGGGTGCTTTTCTTTATGATACAAACTTTATTCAATTTCTCATGATCTCAAATTTAGAATTTCTGTTACAATAAAAATTTCTTTTTAGTACAAATACGTCAGCAGGAAGGATTTTTAAATTTTGTATGAAAGCGGCACATTACTGGAATTCAATTTTATTTTCGTTACTTAGGAGCATAGAAATTAAACACTATTCTGGACAAGGCCACCCTGTTTTTCCAGTGCACGAAATCTAAAGCATCCTTTAAATTGAACTGTGCTTTTGAGATGTTCTTGAAAATATCAAAGCTGGTTTTCTTTAAGATTAAGTTTGAAAATAATTTATTTCTAAAAATGAAGTTTGCTAATAATGCAAATTTATAAAATTAATAAATTATAAATTTTCTCACTTGTCGAGAAGTACAATTTAGAAAAAAAACCTTCATTACTATTTTAATTATAGATCCGAATCTGAAGCGGTTCCGCGGGGGTTGCGAACAACCCCGGTGGCGAGCAGCGAACCAAGTGGGTGTATGTACAGTTGGGTATATACGTATGTACCGCGCCGCGCGAGGCAGGAGGGTGGCTGCTGTGATGATGCTGGGTTAAAGCAGCAGCAGCGCAGCATTGAGTGCGAGAGGAGGAGGAGGTGGCGGCGGCGGCGGAGGAGGAGGCTGCGGGCATGCAAGAGAGAGGAGGACTAGGGGGAGGCGAACACAGCGCGCCGCGGCTATATAAAAATACATAGAGTGTGTGTGTGTGCTTGTGTACGCGTATATATATATTATATAAATGTACATACACACGGTCGCTGGCGCTATGTAGAGAGAGAGAGAGAAAGAGCCCTAGCTAGGGAGAAAGAGAGCCGCGAGGGGTTGGTGGGGGGCTGTTTTATGCAAGGGGGTTTATAATGAGTGAAAGCAGCAGCAGCAGCAGCAAAAGAGAGTAGACAGAGAGCGCGGGCAGGGAAAGAGGGCAAAAGAGAGAATATCGATAGGCAAAAAAGAATAGAGAGAGAGGAAGGGGTTGCTCGCTCGCTCGTTCGCTCGGCGGCACAGTCGTATGTATGTATACATGCCCGGTTGGGGTCGGGGGTTGATTCGAATTGATTTTTCTCGTGAATCACAGAGAGCCCAACTAGCACCCACACAACCGCCTCCCCAATAATTGCCTCATTTTCCACGCATTTGCGATTGATTGAAAAAAAAAATGACAACAATTGGTGATTATAAAGAGATGATCTGGTGATCAAACTTGACATTGGATGGGGTTAATTATATTCAATTGAAGTTGATGAAGCAATTATATAGAAGTGCGATAAGCGGAGGATCAAAACAGTTCTTTAAGAATTTGTGTATGAACAAGAACCTCTTCTTTTTTTTATTTCAGTTGGCGTATTATAATTATAATGCTTTTCGACCAAACCCGAAATTATTTATAAAAATCTGTAATATATATGTCTTTCTTTTTGGAGATTTGTATTTTTTTACGATCAATTTAAGTTGATTTTCTCTACTCAATTTACAAAATGATTTGAAATTCAAAATACAAAATAATCAATTAGTTTTAACATTTAAAAAGGCCAATAAAATAATAAAAAATTCTAAATATCCTGGTGTACTAATAATGAATTATATTTATAAATTTTAACAAAACTTTTCCTTAAATAAAATGCAATTTAAATAATTTAAGATTATCTAAAAATAAAAAAACTAGAAACCAATAAAAGATTTTTTTATTGCTCTGATCACTGATAAAGATTCGACGTTAAGTTTACATTATTTTTATTTAGTTTTTGTATTCAAATTCAAATTTCTAATCGTGTTTTGAAACTCCTTCCTCTTATTGCATCATATACCCCGTTCTTTCTAATTGCCATCTTTGTACTTTTTGTATTAATTAATCTCCTGAATAAGAAACTCTCTCAGCACACAATTTAAATTACAACGCAGCTTCACGTAATGTAACGGATGCACTTTACTCGCTATTGACCTTTGACCGTGTTCGAGAGAGAGCCAGAGAGAGGATGAGCGCATCTCACAAGAAACCAACAAGTTGTTGAATATGAATGCGAATGGCACTCCTTTACGAGGACACACCGCCGTTCTCAATGGCCACGGGGGAAAATCGGCTAAATTTAGGGGATAATATTGATACTTTCGTCAACAGCTTTGAAACCCGAGAGCGCCGCCTCTGCCGCGCGCGAATATATATAAAAAAAAAAATGCATAAACACACACCGAGGGGAGATTCTCCTCCTTTTTGTTCCTGCATGCAGTAGAGGCGAAAGTGATTCGCGAAAATATGCGGCACGCGAATAATAAAAAATGTAATGCGCCACACAAACACACACTTGTGACGCGCCGGCATGAATGAAATTTGAACACATAAACGTACGCAGCTGATGCCCCCAGAGCGAAACTTGATATTCGTAATTTTTATTGTTATAAAAAATGTTAGGACGATTTTTTTATTCAAAATTAGCACCGGTTTTCCTTTCTATAGAGGAATCTAGTATAAAAACAGGGTTAACAAAATACACAGAGAATTTAAAAAAATTTCATGTTCTCTCAGAAATTGAATTAAAACATGCATTATTTAAATTTTTTTACAAAATTAGTGGTTAGAAATGTCTAAATTTTATTAATATTTTAGATTTTGCCATATTCTACAAAAATTAATAGCTAAAATTTTAATTTTAAAATTAATATTAGTAGGAAAAAACTGAAAAAAACCACTCACAAAATTAAACTTTTCAAAGGATATCAAAATTAGCTTCAAGACAAATTAATTAAATGATAAATTAAACAAATAAAAATCCTCACCTTATTAAAATAAAATCTCTTGTCATTTTTTTTAACTGCCGAATTAATTCGAGTCAGAGCTGCTTTTTTACCCCTTCTCAGTAATTGAATTGAAGTTTCTTTACTGTTCTCCAAGAACGTAAAAACACCTCAAGGAAAGCGAATTTTCCGCCACCAACTTTCCACTATCGCCGCCGGTGGGACGCGGTTAACACGCCGCACGCTCGCTCGCTTTATATATTTTAATGAAATAATCGGCGGTGTGCGACACGGTTAATCCAACCTTCCAAGCTGTCCCCAAACGACTTGAAACGTGCTGACAAGAGTTCGAGAGCGAGAGAGAGAGAGAGACCGGCCGGCCGGCTTGCAGAGAAGAAGTTAGTTGTTATCTCTGGTGAGGCGCAAGGTCAGCCGCCTGAAAGGTTACTCCATCGCACACCAGAGGCCAAGAGGTTTCGTATCACTGGCCATACCATTGGCTCTTTTTCTCATCTACCTTGACTCGCATTTGGACATGCCGAACAGAAAACATCGCTCGCTCATTAGCATCTTTTTCCTTCGTTTGACCGCCGCTTCCATTTAAAACAAAACGCGAGAGTGTCACTCTCCAATGTTCATCCGTCTTTCTTTAGCTTGACCTTTTTGTGGAAAACCGTTTGGGATCGGCATCTAATAAAGTGAATAAATTAAAAAATTCCAAATTCCTGAAAGAAGAAATTTAGCTAAATTAAAATTAAAAGTTCGATTTAATTTTGTGTTCTCTTTTTTATATGTGTTTAAAATTAATCCTGAGAATTTTCAATCATATATACAGCAACGTTAATATATTAAAAAAAATACGTCCATTTTATATTTTATCACCAATAGCTTCAGTAACTAAAACTCTAGAATTTCAAAAAGAGATATTTATAATTCAAAAATTATTGAAACCAAAATTTTTCATGAAAATAAATACTGAATTGGGGAAAAACCTGTGCAATAAATCTGCTCATTTTAAAATGCAAAAATAGGGCTAAATATTTTGAGGTATAAATTTCCAAATAGTTAAATTTAAATTTTACTGATTACTTTTTTTAAGCTGTGTCAATTTGATTGTAAAATTCACTGCAGTCCTCGATTTTATGATTTAATTTAAACACAGAATTTAACTTTGATCTGATTTTTAGTACCCTTTGATTTTTTTGTAGAACTTATTTTCACAAATTTAAATATTTTTTAAATCCCCCGTAATAGCGCGTAAATAATTACAATAAAATAAACAAACAAAAAAGGCCGCAGAACAATAAAATCGCACCGCATTTTTTCTTTCCATACACACGCCGGAAAAATCCACAGCGTGGCGCCAGTGAAATAAATTATTTTTGTGGAAAACAGGGCGAAAAACAGCAGTGAAACGCGCTGCAGCAAAAGCGAGCGTCGTCGTCAGAGCGTTAGTTCTTTTTATTTTTAGGCCCGAATCGGTTGCCAATTTGGACACTCTCCACAATATCCCATAGTCAAAAGCACATGGAAATCATTTGTGAAGAAATACACGCGGCGGCGGATAAATAAAAATAGCAGCCGCAGCACCGAGTTGGTGGAGGTGGGTAGGCAGCACGCCCGACTCGGGTGTCAAGCGGATTGCAGAAGGACGGATGCTGCAGGCGTTATATTGCCACCCAGGGAATTGAACGAAATTCGAATAATCTCCGGCCCAGTTGGTGGAAACTGGAAGAGCTTGCTTGTTGCAGCCCAAAGGAGCCGAAGTGTTTTTTACCAAAGCTATAGGTAATTTGAAATTTTTATTTCCAAATTTCCATGCAACCTGAAGCACCAATTTATTAACAGGAGTTGCAAAATCAAGTAAAATTATCAGCGTATCTTATAACTTATATTTTGTTGAATATTTTAAATTTGTTTAAATATTAAAAAAAAAAACAATTAGATGTTCTTTTCTTAAAGTTATTCCTACCTTAATTAATTATTGTTTACAGTAAATTCGTTCTTTTTATAGGAAAAAATAATTTAGTTTTTAATGTGCAGAATAATTTTAATAAAATAATATGGCGTAATTATAAATTAAATTACATTTATTTTACAGAATTGTACAGGGAATAATTTTTAATATTATCTTGTCTTCTCCACTGAAACTCATTTTTGGAGCATTTTTTCTGTTTGTTTCTGTTTTTCCAATCACATTATTGCAGGAAATGGGCTGATTTTGTAATTGCAATTTTCAGTAACGCTATCAAAGTAAAAAAATTGGTTTGAAATTAATTTTTTTTTTTAAATTTCAATTGGATTCCATTAAAATATAAATAGTTCAGAAGCATTTGTTAAAATGGCATTTTAACTGCAGCAGATTTTCCTCGTTTGTTCGTATTCATCATGTTTTACTTCACGGCTAAGTAATCTGTGTTATTATATTTTTATTTCTCATCCACGAAACTAAATGAGAAAAATAAATGAAAGGAGCAAAGTTGAAGTTTCGCCTTTTTAATACTTCCGAGAAACTTTTTCGCACGCAAAAGTTGGACTGAATGGAAAACTTTGGCCTACTAACCAACTGCTACTTTTTATATCAATTTGCTCGTTTCCTACTAAAAATTCGACAAATAATTCCAGGTAAAAAATATTTCCACAAATATGGAAATTTGACAACCGTGTCTCTGAATATAATACGCTCAGGAGTGTGGATAAAATCGGCGATGCTCCTTAACCTGCACAACATTGGGCCGCGCATATAAAAAGTTTTGGCCAAAGTTGAGCACATGCAATTTTATTGCCGCCCGTCTATCTTTCGCGCAGTAAAAAAAGGAAAAAGAGGGTAGGCGAGCGAGCGAGCGAGCCCCATCCATCTATCCATCTCGCGTCCGCCGCCGCCGCCGATTCTGCTGGGGCTTCTCGCCACCACAAACGCGCGCCCTCCGCCTCCCCTTCGCGCGGATGCAGGTTGGCTCGATCTGCCCTTGGAGACGGTTGCTAGGGCCGTGACGTCACGCACCCCGGCGCCCGCCGAGTGCAGGGCGCATGTCGGGGCGCCAGCACCACCTCTCGCGCAGATGGCGTGTCGACGGCCAGAGATCGGCCGCTGCAGCCTCCGAGTCAGGCCGAAGTGAGAGCAGAGCACCAAGAAAAGTCACAAACTAGGCAAATTATCTTGCGGCTCAACCACCGAATTTCAGTTTTGAGCCTGAAATCATGCAGGTGAGTTGAAAATTATACAGTTAAAATTTTGAATTTTGTGTGGAATGGATAATTTGAAAAAAAAAAAATTATTAATGCTTCTTTTTTACATGATAATAAGTACGGTGTTCTATTTGTGTCTATTTTTAAATGAGCTTTTAATTGGAACTTTGCATCAATTATCTGAGACTTCGTAAAATTTCCGGTTTTTGAAAAAGTTATTTTGGTTGTAATCTTGGGGTGACCTTTTAATTTCAAGTTTCAAGTCACTTGAAACTTTATGTTTTTCCAATCGTTTTTTCATATACTTGAAATTTGTTGTGCAAGTTAAGTCCATTTTAATCATATTTTCAAAATTTTCAATTTTTTTTATTCAAAATTCACAAATTTTGAAGAGACGTCTAGAAACATCTTTCAAATTGTCCAGGATTTTGTTCTCTTTTTATTAATCTATGGACTTATCCTGGACAAATCAAAGAAGGGTGTCGGCCATCACAGGCATCATAGCTCAATGAAAGTAGCGAACCGCCCTTGCCTAATGTGATTGCTATCGATTTTGCCGAAATGCAACAAATGGAGCCACCCGCCGAGTATGTTTACCCTCGCAACATCTTGACTTTGCGAATTTTGTACAGAGGACCTTGCGCGCTCGTAAAAAAAAGCATCGACCGCATTTTTGTCTCACTTTTCGTGGTGGAAAATTCCTCTCTTCCCCCTCATCTACTATTTTCCTGCCTGGCTTTGTTTGCTCTACCGACAGCGTCTTGGAATGATAATAAATTATGTATCTTCCTTTTTCGATGAAACGCGACACGCGTCGATCGGAATTGCATCGAGTAAATACAGATGTCCCATATATCGATTCTTGTACATTTTATTTTTGTATACTTTCCAAAATGGGCTTTGGTAAATTTTCATGAATGGAAAAGTCTTGCTTTGCCAAGACATTAGAAAGAAAGATATGAATTGAAGAGAAGGAGCTTTGATATGCTTAATGAGAGAGTGACATAACTTGACTTTTGTTCACTCTTGCTTGGCGAATTATTAATTTTTTTGCTCTCTTTCATGTCTGGACTGCAGTGTTGGAGGGCATTCGCCCGGCAGAGGATGCTGTGGACGGCGGCACTGGTTGCAATCTGTTTCTTCTCATTGTCAGGTATGCAAATTTTGTTAAAAATTAAACCATAATTTAAATTGATTTTTCATTAAAATATGTTATATTTTTTGGGTCACATTAAGTAATTGATTATATAACTTTGTTAAGTTGATTTTGATTTTTGTAATAAATTCTTGTTGAATTTATTTTATTTTATTAGAATTTATCAATTAATTTTAAATGGTTATTCATTTTTGAACTTATTCCTTTTTAATACGAAGATAATTTTTTTCATTCCCTTTTGGAAATATATGGCTCGCGTGAATTTATTTCCGTAAATCAAACTGGAAGCTAATCGTTTATTTAATGTGTGCCTGTCAATCAATTGGTCCAAGCTTATGTCAGCACCAATGAATATCGGCCAAAATCAAACAAACCGAACGTCCGCGCGACACGCACATTCCCCATCGATTTATTGCTAAAAGCTTCCTATAATATCAAATGCACGCTGTTTTTTGCAGTCACGCCTACGGGTGCAATAAATTGCTTCACATGCTCGTCGGTCAACGGAAGCGACAAAAACTGCATGGACCCTTTCAACCCAGGAATGTCTACGTATAAGGAGAAGTGCATGGTGCCCAAGCAGGGACACGTCGGCGTCTTTCCGGCCAATTTTTGCATCAAGATCAGAGGCATTAATAGTAAGAAATAATTCATTAAAATACTTAAATCAAATTTAATTAATAAAATTAAAATCAGAATATATTTTTTTAAAGCGAAAAATTTTGATTGAAATCTTTTTTCATTTTTTTATTAATAATTAGATTTGATTATAAATTCATTTTAGTAATTATTGTTGTTTATTTGTCCACATTGTTACAAATACATTGTTTACATTCAGTTTTTGAAAAACAATTATTTAGAAAAAAAGAGATTGTTGGACAAAAAAAAGAGATTGTTAAAATAAAACTAAAATATTATTAAATTTTTCTTATTTGGAAATTGAAATTGACCATCAAAATTTTATTAAAATTAAAATCCCTTTTACAAAACAATATTTTTTTTATCATTTGAGGAAATCAATTATTAATTAAAAATTGACCTATTTCCTTATTTTCCACTCGGGTTTAACCAAAATTATACATATTCTTACAGTTGAAACGTCAAGCGTAATGTACATCCGAGCGTGTGCCATGAAGACAATGGACTCGCAGTGTGGCAACTTCAAGTACCAGGACCAAACCATGACCGGCTGCATACTGACTTGCGACTACGACGGCTGCAATTCGGCCCCAAGGACTTTGACAGGGACGGCCAATTTGGCCGTCGCGGCCGCCACGCTGGCATTTGTGCTGCGGCGCTGAAAAGCGGGAAAAAGAGACCAACTGTGAGAACTGGGAACAAAAAGGGAAATAATAGAGAAACATGGTGTACGCCGCAGGCTCATTCAGATTTGTTACCATTCAGTCCGACGCGCGTGACTCGACAGCAGTGGCAATTTCATTGTTACAAATTTTTATGCATTCTCTGCAAAAAATATATACATATTGACCACCGTATTTTCTCTCTTTAACCATAATGTATTTGTTTAAAAAAATATCAAACTAGCTTTTAATTTGTGCAAGAATAAATTAATGTAAATCATCGCCAGTATTAAATTTTCTAGAAAGTATCTATTTTAAAAATATTAATGACATGTATTCGGAATTCTTTGAAAATTATTTATGATAAAAAAACATGTAATAATCATGCCTTCCATAATAAATAATTTTAATCTTAATTCTTGGTATTTCAATATACATCTATTTTCTTTCCTAAGTTTGAGCCAGCAAGGAATGTTTTATTAAAAACTTGATCAGTTCATTTTATTGACTTTGATATTGAAATTTTATTTTCCATGTTTGCATTTAAACCATTATTCTAACCTATTTTAATCAATAATTTTAATCTTTTACACTTGATTTCATTAAAAACAAATTGAGAGTGAGAAGTTAAATTAAAATATTTTGTTAAATTTGGATAATCACAAATAAATGCCTAATATTCGTTGCACTACTATAACCAACACAATTAATTAGGATTCAATATGCGAGAAGACTTATTGAACAGAGACTTTTCGTTTCGATTTCCATAGACAGGCGATCCGACATTTCACCCTGTTCCAAGCAAAAATGCACAATATTGGGTGGACCCTTAATATTCGGTGAGTTTGATGATGTTTTCGTTAATTTGAGACGTTTTGTTTAACCAAAACTAAGCAAACTGTCTAAGAGCCGAGTTTTGATAAAATTGCAAGTTTTCCCTTAAACAGCTGCCGTTTCACAAGTCACTGGTTCGGCCACCTCTTCTTTTGTTTCACTGTCCCCAGCACCGTCCAGCTTATCCGGCGCTGGCTTCTCCAGATCTTCATTTTCAGTTGCACCAGTACTTGGCTATATATATATATTTTTTTTTAAATTAAAGTATATAAAAAATGGCGCATTATAATATTTCTACCTTAATAATTTCTTCTGGCTCTGGACAAAGATCACTGCTTTCAATTTCTTTTTCTTCACTGTCAGTTTTCTGAAGAGGTTCCTCAGCTTTAGACTCCTCAAAACTTTCAAGGCTTTTCTCCTCCACTTCAACTTCTTTAGGGGGGACGGGAATCTGTGATATGAAAAAGTATTTAAATCATATCGCTGATTGGGATAATGATAAAAATTAACTTTTTAAATCATTCCAGCCATCGTGAAATTTTCCTTTGAAATAAATTATTAGTATACCCTACCATTTCTTCTTGAGCAGCTGCCACAGTTAATTGAGATTCTGGCTCAAGTGGTTTGACTTCAGCCTCTGTTTCTTCAACAATCATAGGCTTGCTGTCTTCCATTTCAACGACGCTCACTGTTTCCTCCACTTTGACAGGGGCCAATTCAGTCTGTTTGAAACAAAAAATGTAAACTTTAATTGAAAAATCTACTAACAAGGACTACCTCTTTAATTTTAGCTTCAGCTTCGACCACGGCACTGCTGATCTCCATGGCGACCGGTTGACCTTGGACTGGTCCTGGATCGGAGTCGCTGGCGTCGCTGCTACTGCTGCTGCTAGCAGGAGGGGAGTCATTTAGCTCGACGTGAGGTCGGAACTTTCTTTTCCGAAGACCGTTTTTCATCACAACAGTGCTTCCACTGGCGTTCGAAGTGTCCATGGAAGAAGCGCCTGCTAGTGCTGGGTGGACCATGGGAGTGTCCGAGTCATCATCCATGTCTTCGTCCTCATCCTCGTCATCACTTTCATCTCCGTTCATCAAATTGAGGGCTGGGTTGAAAATTCTCATCGAGATGCGAGTTCGAACTTCAAAGTCCATTGCTATAAAATAAATAAGTTTCAATAATATTTTCCAAAAAATTGATTATTTTCACATTGCAAATAAAAATTCTGATCTAACACTACAATGTCTTTATGTTCAATTTACAGTATTGTTTATTTACAAATGATGAAGCAAGAAGGCATGCTAGAAAGATCAAATCTAAATTAAATAAACTCTACATCATTTTGTAAAAAAAAAAAATTACCAGCATTTTGCAGAGGAATTAGATCAGCCTGTCCAACTTTGGAGACAGTTGGGGACGCATAGTTAAAATGGTGAGGTACGAATTTCGTCTCGCAGTGGAATTCAGTTTCTTGCCTGAAAAAAATTATGATGCCAAGTACAACAAAAATCTGAGGAAAAATTACCCAACAGTCGAGACAACCATTAAATTTTTTTCGATCGCCCTCAGGTACTTGTCGATTCTCCGATATTGTCTTCTCGATGTAGTCAAAACCTCGACCAGTCTCTGAATAGTGAAGGGTGGCCTGGACATAGAAATTCATTATAATTTTATTTGTAGCTTTTAAGATTTAATTTTATTTACCGGTTGAAAATGTCGAACCTGTCGTAGAGAAACGTTCGAGCTTGGTGGAGGCTAAAATCCTTGTCGGTCGGCAGGTCGGAGCAGAAGTGCTGGAAGTAGTCAATGTTGCAGTCCAGTTTGAGCTTGAGGAGGCGCTTCACGTCGTCCCACTCGTTCTCGAAGACGACGTTGCCCGTCCGAGCGACGTGCAGCAGGTAGTCCTCGAGGATCTGCGGAATCTTTTGGTGCCGCTCGGCTGCCAACTCTGAAATTAATGAGAAGCGGCTCCAAGGTGAAGGATTTTTTATTCGGAATTCGAAAGAATTTACCCTTTAGCGAGGCCAACACGGCCTCTGTGTCCAGCGGTGTTTCCATTTTGGACAGGATTTCGGACGGTGGCGGGTCAATTGCGGGCGAAAAGCTGGAAAAACCAGGGCTTGCGTTTGTTTACAAATAATACGAGCGGACGTGAATGACGATATTTTATTTACCATACAGATACGATAGCGAGGGAATGAATGAACGGCGCACGCGCCACGATCGCGGGATCATGCAAGATCAATCGATGGATTGCCCCGCGAACTTGGCGACACCTGCGCCAATCATTAAAATTTAATTACTTCAGTAATATTTTTATTTCTATTATTTCAACCATTCCGGATTACCATCTCATTTTAGAAAGTTTAAATTTAATCTTTTTTTCATTTTTTTATAAATTCTCTAAACTTTTTACAGCAATGCCACCTTCCTCTACATGTTATCGTTTTACTCGGTTATAATGTTTTCATCAATCGAATAAAATGAAATGGTTTAAAATAATTACTGGTTAGGTATTATTTATTTAGATTTTTTAATAATTTTTTTTTTATGACACAAAAGTTTTATGCAGAATCAGTTCATTTAAAAAAAAAAAAAATGTATCATCAAGAACTTAAATTTAACTCTGCTCGTTGTCAGAGGTGTCGTTCGAGTTTGATTTGCTACTTTGGATCTGTGCTCTCAGCTTGCGTATCTGGTCCTCGAGGAGGCAAACATGATTCCGAAGCCCTTCTTCCTCACGCTTTTTCCTTACTCGCAGTTGTTTCAATTTAAGCTTGAAATATTGAATTTGCTCAGCAATCTTCTTCTTGCTCTCCTGCAAATATTGAATTAATTCATTATAAAAAAATTATGTAATTCTTTTTGCACATACTTCCAATTGCTTGTCCTTTTCTTTGTTCTCTTTCTCTAGACTGTCGACAATTCTAACCAATTCGTGCTGATGGAAATCCTTGCCTGTTTTTAAAGCTTTTGCTCGGTCAACCCTGATAATTGAGTTTCTTTTAAGAAAAATTTATAGCAAAAGTATATTTTGATGCGTACCTGGAATGCACGGCTTTTACAAAATCTCGTTGAATACCTTCCAGCTGAAGAGCTTTTTTGTCCAAATTACTACTTCTTCGCTCCTCCAATCTAAAATGAAACTTACTTTATTATACAAAAATAAGATAAGGATTGTAACCTACCGAGATTGGAGCTCTTTGTTTCTTTGCCTCAATTCTTCAATGTCCGTCATTTTTTCCTTCAATGATAGCTTATGTGACTGTCCAAGTTTTTCAATTGCAATCACATGGACCCTGCTGTTTTCTTCAAACTTCCTTTTCAACGCTTGATAGTTTTTAGCTAACGTGAGTTTCTCCAAGGCGACAGCGGCGTCATTTGGGTCCCATTCGGCCCCTGCAACTTCTCGAGCCAAATCTTTCGGTTTTATTTTCAATCTGCTGCTCAGATTTTTGATAACTTGTCTATCACTGTGCTGCTGGATCTAAAATAGAATTGAAAGTGTATAGCTCGCAAAATTATCTAAAATTAACAATAGTACTAACTGTCAATTTTTCATTCTGCTGCTCCAAGTCCAAAATTCGCTGGTTGGCTTTGAGCAAAACTTTTTCCAAATGCACTGTCGACTCTCGAAGAGCTTCGATTTCTTTCTCTTTGGTAGAGAGAGTCACCAAAACTTCGACATCATTTTTTAAATTCTTCCGAAGTCTAAAGACATTCAAAATTAGTTTATAAAAATTTAATTCGTACAAAAAATTTTGTCACCCACCGGCACAAGTCCTCCTCCAAAGCAACAATCTGCTGTCCTAACTGTTGAATGACGCTTCTGTTGACTGCGCTGCACTGCGGATTCCAAGAGGCAACAATCTGAGGCAGATAATCAGCGAAAACCCCCCGGGTGTCCATTCTCTATAGCAAAAGGCAGAAGAGGAATGAAATTCAGTCCATCGACAATGCAACCGGTGCATTTGTTGATTTGTTTACTAAATTGAAGATGCCGCCTCGCCTAAGACTCCTTTCACGCCCACTTTGATTCAAAGGAGTGAATTAAAAGGAGATAAAGTTTACTCTTGAAAAACTTTAAATGAGGTGCAATGAATACAGTCAAAAACAATATAATATGTAATTTGTAATAAATGTATTACAAATATAGACAAAATCATTATTTTTGTTTGTAAAAGTTATCTAAATGTTTTATGGAAATTTCAATTAAACTTAATCCTTGCTGTACAACCCTAATAACTTTTATAGGAAACTAGTAATGGATGGAAGAACGGCGTTGGGCGGTCGCATTTTCGTTTTCCAGCAAGCAAAGCGCAAGCATGGGCAGAAAGAAGCGTTTTCGCTGTTCGTTTGGCACATTTGCACAATCAAACGGCTCAAATGTCCACTGAAACTGAAACTATGAGATAATCTGAAAGGTAAAACCATCTCATCTTAACTTATTTCCAAGAACCATGCCGTCCATTCACAAGATGGTCCAACACGTGGCGTGTTTTTTTTTTAACATTTTTATTGATATAATTCTCTCGCTTCAATACGTATTAATTTTTTATAACTCCTCCAATTTTACTCTATTTTTAGGGTTATTATTTGGAAATGTAGAGACGACCTGCGGTACGCAAACGACCATGCTGAAGTCAATTGATTTTGGAGCCCATGCAGCATTTTTTAAGTTGGATATTATGAGGCTGGAAACTTGAAAACAGGTATAAAATAGCAGATATACATATAAGGCTAGCGCATACATATAAAAGGGAATTTAATTCCTAGTTACTCCAAAAAAAAAAAAATATAATACATACATACATAAACAAAATTTAGTACTCGAATGATGAATTTCAGCTAGATAGGGACATTTGAATTAAAATTATAATGAAAAAACCTCTAGCTCTGAACAAACATTCTAAAAATATCAGCAAATTCTATACAGATTCTACTTTTCTAAAATTTTATGATTTTATATTGTAGAATGACTCGGAGGCCGTCCAACGAACGAAAAGTTTTTGAGAAGCGTTAGAAAGAGCGCAATATTGGTCTATCACTACAGGTATGTATGTTATCTTATTGGCCCCCATAAATTTTAATAAGAAAAAATTCTACAAATATGATGAACCACACTAGATAGGGACATTTGAATTGAAAAACATGTGATAATTTCTAGTCCTGATTAAAATCAAAATTAGAAATAACAAAGTGAATTGAATATAATTTGACTGAAACGTATAAAAATTTGTTCACAGCAATGTCAGCAATACATCCTAATTTTGAGCTTCAAGGCCTTATATGTTCCAGTGGTAAGAATTTTTTTCAAAAACTAACCTTATATTATTTATAAGTTAAAAAAATGATGATTTCCTACTAGATAGGGACATTTGAAAGATTTTAATGAAAAATATCTAGTTCTGATTTTACTTCAAATTCTTTATTTTCTGTTCCCATTATATTTTTTTTTAATTATACCAAATTTTTGCTTCTAGTTATGCCTTTGGACTGAGAACAAAATCCGATTGGAGAAAATTGATTGAAGTGAGTAATGGCATTTGATTTTTAAATTCTTATGCTATAATATATGATGATTTTTCACTAGATAGGGACATGTGAATTTATTTTATGAACAAAAATCTAGTCCTGATAGAATATTAAGTTTTTACTTAACATTATGTAAAAATTAGTCAGTCTCATTATTTTTTTTTATTATTTTAGCTGACGCAATGAAGCTGTAATTGTTACCAAGAGAAATAAACTTTGAAAATTGAAATCTAGCAACTTTTATTTTCACAGAAAAACATCAATATATAATTACAAAAATCACACATTTTGTAAAATACAAAACAAGTCCAAAAGTCAATTGTTATAAATCAGTTATTATGGGTCTGCATTTTTTCGAGAGTCGACTGGAGTTGCTCAAACTCAACATCTTTAACAACCCTCACATAAACATCTCTTCTGAGGGAAATTTTCTCGACCCAGTGAGGAGCGCCTTTTAGGATAAGATCAATGTGTTGCTGGAACTCGTCATTAGGCAGTGGGTGCGGGAAACAGTTTGAAAGTCGCTGTATGAGCAAGTCCATCCGCAACACAGACTTTTTCTCACTGACAAAGATGTTCCTCATGTACTTGGCAAGCACAGGAAGTCTCTCCATACGTCGGACTTCCTTCTCTTGGTGAGAGGGACGCATTATAGCCAGAGAGGCAATTCGAGCTTTCTCAGCCTGTTTCTGCCGAACTTTGGCCAAAAGAGAAGCTGGCAATCCTTTGAAGCAAGGGTTAAGAGGAGGTTCCTCAGCCTTTGCATCCTCAGGTTTCTCGTCCTTCTTTTCGTCTTGCAATTTAGCCAGGGCCTGTGCAACACGAGTGTTGGACTTGAGCCAAGAGTTGGCCTCTAAAAAATTAGGAATGCGTTTAAGTATGAGAATAATTTAATACAAATGATAAATGTAAAATTTATTTAGATTAGCATTAACAAATATTAATATTTTATAATTACCAAGCACTTCCGAAGCTGTGTAAATTTTGTTCTTGTTAGCCTCTGGCAAAGGCGATGGTTTAATTTCTGGAACCAAATTTGGTTCAAACTCTGGGTGCCACCTGACAACTTTTTCTGGAGCAATTTCTAAAGGTGGTCTCAGTTGCATCAGGAATTCCTAATAATTATTCATACCAAAAATAAAATAATATTATATGACTTTCTATTGAAAATTACCTGATGGTAGGTCTTAACTATTTCAATCAGTTTGGCACGGAAGCTTTTTTCTCTCTCCGGAAGACAAGACCAGGACTTGCCTTGAGCGTCCTTGATGAAATTCATGTTGAGTTCCAGGTCGTCCTTAACAAGTTTGCAGTCAACACAAGCAGGATCCACAGTCTTGATTTGTCCAAGTTTTTCTCTGCCAAAGTTCCTGCAAGAAAAAATTTTCAAAACTTCTGTACCTATTCAAAATAAATAATTTTTACCTCCTGGAAATTTGCTCAACCGCAGTGGAAACTTTGCTCAGCGTCACCGTCTCCTTCCGATTCTCGAGCATGCATGCAGCAACGTCCATGGCCTTAAAGGAGGAGTGCAGAGCTTGGTAGGACTGAGGAAGGATAAGGCCCTCCTTCTCACTCTCAAATTTGAGACTAACACGAGCCTTGATTGGCGATTGTGGCAAAATGCTCTTCACAGGAGACTTGGCTGGGCTTTTCAAGGGACTTGCGTAGATCGGCTTCTTAATTGGGCTGTAATAAATTAGGATTAAATTATTGTTTAAACCTGAATATAACAAAAAAAAAATATATATACCTCTCAGGAACATCAAATTCCAGGGGCTCTTCAAACGGTTTGATCTGCAATTTGGCGTCCAGCTTTTGGAACTTATCCAGACTAGCTTTAAGCTTCTCCCTGGCAGGTGCATTTTCTCGAATCCTTTTCTTCAGCTCGTCAAAATTCAGGGAGCGAGACGCCTTGGCCTTCTCCGGTTTCTCCGTTGCCTTTCTCGGCGCCTCTTTCACCTTTTCCAAAACGGTGTCTGCTTGCTTTGGTGTGACGTCGACGGCGATCGTCTTGAGCTTCTTTTTGGCCGCACCCTGAGCCTCCAAAATCAAAAGTTTTGACCTGCTGGGCGTCGAGTTGGTCGCCGCTCTTTTTCTGCTGCCGAAAAAATTCGTAATACTCGCTTGGGACGACATTTTCGGCTGTTTTTCCTGATTTTCCAGCGGCCCTCAATTTTGTTGTCAACCAGTCTCAAAAGCGGGAAAACTTCAGCGGCCGACCAATCAGATTTCGTTCGCCCGTGACGTCACATTTATTGGCCAATGATGGCATAGCTTTTAAGGGTGTTATGGCTGAACAATGATTATTGTAAAAATGAAAAATCAAGTTCTGATAATCGTCAGGGGTTACGTCGCGAAAAATTGTGTTCACGGCGCGCGATGACGTCACGGCCTCCGAGCGCCGAAGTCAAGCAACCCTAGATTTTACAATTGTTCTTATTTTTCAATGCTATTTATCAGTCAAATAATAATGATATACACATCAATCGACGCGGAATTTAGCAAGGACTCAAAATATGTCCATTGTAAAAAGTTTTAAAACAAATATCTCTTATTTAAACTGAAAAAACTGATCTACCCCACTGTTTTTTCGGTTTTGAAGCGTAATATCTTCGCGGAAGAATTGTAAACACGTCACTTTTATCCAATCAAATCGCAGGTAGATAAATTCACAAAAGATCTGTCGAGAGAAAAATGTTGCCACCAGTATTCTGACCAAGCAGTGAAGGCTCAAACTTGAAAATCTAGTTTCATAAGTTGGCAGCCCTGCTTGACTCTTGAATCAGCAGATCAGCTGCGCCTCTTGCCGTCTGAATTGTGTTTATTCAATGAAAATCGTTTTTTTAACCTTTGTCTGGCGTGTTTTTCAATATTTTTTTAATTACTAGGGATGCCTCAGTGTAGATGTCAAAGGTTTATTAAAGATTTAAGTACGTAAACCCTAGCCACCCTTTCAACCCCTGCTTTAAAGGTCGCCTATTGCTAGTGAATCGTGTCGGAAGTCGGAGGAAATGGTATAAGACGCACGTTATTGTTGGTTTATTTTTATAAGTCACCCTTTTTATTGTGGTTTGATTTGTTCAATAGTTTTTAACATATCATATTTTCAGGTATGAAGCCCTCCTGGGGTCCCTAAACCCTGCAATTTTTTAGTCCGATCTCGGATTTTATCCACCCCTTTGTTTGGAAGAAACAACCTTTTTTAATTTTGAAAAATATTAATGGCCGGTGCAGCGATAACACAAGGATGATGATGATGTTTCTTCTCACACTAACTACCCCTTTGATGGCACAGTGTGTATTTACGTGAGTCTTTTCGACTGACTGCGTAGAGTCGAGAAGCTCGAGAATTGATAATATTTTTTTTTCGAAAAGAGGTAATAATTCAAAATATATTTTGTGATTTTGATACTTATGTTGTCATAGCAATACACTTAAAAATGCACTACTTTAAGGGTTGAAGAATTTTGTTTAAAGATTTTAGTGAGTTAGAAGGCCAATCGATACAAGCAGCGTCGCTCGATTCATATTCTTATTGTGTTTTTTTTTTTTTTTTTAACTATTTCTCCTGCTTTAAAAGTTGCAAATTGTATCTGAGATTTATAAAATTATATAGGAAACATATATTTCAAGCACCCACCCTTCTTAATGGCTATCAATATAAAATCTTAAGCTTGCCTGCTGTAAAGTGCAAATTTAGATTTTGGATCTCAGATTTTTTATTTGTCGAATTTTTCCATCGATGGTTGAAAATTTATATATTGTATAGGTATGAGACAATCTCACTTGCGTTTTGACACAATCAAGTTAAAGGCCTATCAAAAAGGGAAAACGGACCAAAAAGTGTGAATCGGCTAAGCTAACAAGATGCCTTTATCAATTTTCTTTTTTAAATTTCTTTAACAATTTTTTTTTTAATTTTAATATTTTGAGATCATGAATTTTGTTGACGTTTTGATGCAATTTGCCCTCTAAAAAGTATCATGAATATCTGTAAAATTTAATTAGCAAAATATTTGATACTTTTTCAAGGATCCAGCAGTTTCATGGAGTCCGCAAACTAAATAAGCTTTATCTTTTGAAAGCCGTATCGAAGGGTGATTGCATTTGTGGTTGATATATTTTTACACATTCTCATATCCATTCTACAACTTTTAAAGCAAGAAAGTTTATTATAAAAGGGCAATAAGAATAAATAAAGTTATGCGGCTGTGGCTTGTGTTGATTTTAGCCTTCTAGTTGCAAATGAGATTCTTCTAACTCGATCACTAAAACATTCAATTTATTTGTCTTTGTTTTGTGGACTTTTAAGTGTATGTTAGATCCTAGTTGTAATGGAAATCTTAGCTGAAAAATTATAAAATACCTCTTTTTAACGGAAATTTTTGTCCAGTCCGGGGTCTGTAACTCGCAATCACTTGAGAGCATACACACTGATATCAGAGGGTAGTTAATGTGGAAGAATGTGGTAATAATATCATTTCAATCCTTGCTTAATTAACTGTATCATTCATGAGTCAAATTTTTTGAGATAAATTTCTTTTCTATGAAAAAGTGTATTGTGTGTAAAAACTGGAAAAGCCGAGAGCCGAGAAGAATATTGCAGGGTTTGGGAGCCCTGAGGAATGCTTCGTGCGTTGGTTCTTAAAATTAAAAAGAAGATGATCAACAAATTTAATCCCATAAAAAAATGTAAAAAAAACAAAAAAATCGTTTCTGAGAAAAAGAACGGTAAAATCCGTCGAGTGATGACATTTTTTTTGTCTTCAAATAATTTCACTTGCAAAAGGTGACTTTTACGAGGGAGCTGAAGGGATGGCAAGATTCAGCATAGTAAAATCTATGCGAAAACCTTTTACCTTGACCCTGGGGCGCCCTGGGGTATCTTTTTTGATTCAAAATTTAGCAAGAATAAATAACACTTCAATGATTTAGCTGAAAAAGCGGCCAAAAAAGATGCCTTGAATTCTAACTAATAATAACGATTTATGAAATAAATTTGGCTCAAATTATGGTTAAAAGATGATCCTAATGTTAACCTAATGGCCGGAATTTGTTTACAATAGTTTATTTGTGCTTAAAATTACCGAAAATTCCCAAATTGCAAGTGCTAAACAAGGAGAATCTTTTGTTATTGTCAAGCAGCTTCGCGCGCATGTTTAAAAAACGACGCGATGGTGCTGCCGCCTAGCGGAGAAACCACGTGCCATAACCACCTTAAATACCATGTTGGCAGGTGCGGCAAATTTAAATGCCCGCTCGAGTGCTCATGGCCATCTAGCGGTAGTTTGCATAAATAATTAAATAACAATGGGAATTTTTTATTTTCATCGTAGGAGGTGAATGGTGAATTAATTAGAATTTATTATTAAAAAATAGTTTATTAGTAAACTTATGTGTGCTAAAACACTGATTTAACACATATTAATGCAATAAAATCGAGCAAAAAACTTTTACTGCAATGGCGCGTCAAATTCAAATCCTGCAAGGTGATTGGCTGTTTTAATCAACGCTACGCAGCGTCTGGTTGGTCTTTACTCCTCTGTTTTGTGTTTGGTATCGATAACTTTAACCCATCCCTTCCCTACAGCTGAAGTCGGCAATTCCACGTCACTGCGGAGGAAATCCGCCGAAATTTAGTGCAATTCGGCTTTGAAATTCTCCAAAATGGTAAACCGAGCAACTCCTGTTTTCAAATTGATTTTAAAATATCACTTTTTAGCCGCTGCGGCTGGAGATCAAGAGAAAATTGACCGCACGGTCTGACCGGGTCAAGTGCGTGGACCTGCACCCTCAGGAACCGTGGCTGCTGGCCTCGCTGTACAATGGACACGTCCACGTCTGGAATCACGAGTCGCAGCAAATGGTCAAGACCGTTGAAGTGTGCGATTTGCCAGTACGAGCCGCAAAATTCGTGGCCCGCAAGAACTGGATCGTCACCGGCTCTGATGACATGGCCCTCCGGGTGTTCAACTACAACACCTTGGAAAAGGTGCAGGAAGTCGAAGCCCACTCGGACTACGTCAGGTGCATTGCTGTCCATCCCACACAGCCTTATTTACTCACCAGCAGCGGTATTTTCACTTATTATTATTTTTTTAAACATGTAATTTTTACTTTTGTTTATACAGATGACATGCTCATAAAATTGTGGCACTGGGACAGGTGGGCTTGCCAGCAGGTAATTTTTCCAAATTAATTTTAGGCAACCAGATAAACTTAATTTAAAGAAAATGTATGAAATTCTATTTTGGTTTTGTGCATTTGCTGAATAATTATTTTTTATGACGTGGAGATTGTTATCTAATGTTTTTTAATTTTACTTAGGTTTTCGAAGGCCACACTCACTATGTGATGCAGGTTGTCTTCAATCCGAAGGACAACAACACTTTCGCCTCTGCTTCTTTGGATAGAACAGTCAAAGTTTGGCAGCTTGGGTCATCTGCACCCAATTTTACTTTGGAAGGGCACGACAAAGGCGTCAACTGCATTGATTTCTGTCATGCTGGTGACAAACCTTATCTCGTCTCTGGTGCTGATGACAGACTGGCCAAAGTGTGGGACTACCAGAACAAAACTTGCGTGCAAACCCTTGAGGGCCATGCCCAGAACATTTCAGCAGGTAAATTTAAAATGAAAATATGCCGCAGCTTTGCTTTACTGAATTCAATTTCAGTATGCTTCCACCCTGAGTTGCCAGTTTTGTTGACGGGATCTGAAGATGGAACCGTAAGAGTGTGGCACGCAGCCACCTACAGATTGGAAACCTCGCTTAATTATGGCTTGGAGAGGGTTTGGACCATTTCTTGCTTGAGAGGGTCAAATGATGTAGCCCTCGGCTATGACGAAGGCTCAGTCCTGCTCAAGGTTTGTAATTTGTCAATAAAATAAAAATATAAAATAACAAAAATTCATATAATTAAATTTTCATTGAACTTTTCTATAGGTTGGCCGTGAAGAGCCAGCAGTGTCGATGGATGCCAGTGGAAAGATTGTTTGGGCCCGCCACTCAGAAATCCAGCAGGCCATTGTGAAGGCCTCTGCTGAGGGGTCCGCAGATGGTGAGAGACTAGCTCTTGCAGCCAAAGACATGGGCGCTTGTGAAATTTACCCCCAGTCCATTGCTCACAATCCTAATGGCCGTTTTGTGGTCGTCTGTGGTGATGGGGAATACATTATTTACACAGCAATGGCCCTAAGGAACAAGGCCTTTGGCTCTGCACAGGAGTTTGTCTGGGCGCACGACTCAAGCGAATATGCTATTAGGTAAGATTACGAAATACTTTTTGTATGTACTCAATGCAAATAATTACCAGATTCACGCACTCTATTTTATTTAATGAATATTAAGTTTCATTTTTTACTATTTATAATAAAAAAATAAAATTAACGTTTGGTTAATAATTTCGCAGGGAGGGAGTTTCTTCAGTGAAAGTTTTCAAGAACTTCAAAGAGCGAAAGTCGTTCAAGCCAGAAGGAGGCGCCGAGGGAATTTTCGGTGGTTTCATGCTTGGCGTACGATCCACATCCAGTTTGTCCCTTTACGACTGGGAGTCGCTGACCTTGGTGCGTCGAATCGAAATCCAGCCTCGCCATGTTTTCTGGTCAGAGACTGGTGAACTGCTCTGCTTAGCCACTGAGGACAGCTATTTCATTCTCAAATATAATGCTGATGCCGTGGTCAACAGCACTGAGCGGAATGAGGATGGTATTGAAGAGGCTTTTGAAGTTGTCGGAGAAGTTTCAGAAGCTGTGAAGACAGGCCTTTGGGTTGGCGATTGCTTCATCTACACAAATGGAGTCAACAGGGTCAACTACTATGTCGGAGGGGAAATTGTGACTGTTGCCCATTTAGACAGACCAGCCTACCTCCTCGGCTACTTGCCGAAGGACAACAGACTTTACCTGGCAGACAAGGAACTCAATGTCCTCAGTTACTCCCTTTTGTTATCCGTAAGTTTATTTTTAATGGATAAAATTCGTGTAAATTATCACATATTAATTATTGTCTCTAATCTAGGTACTCGAATATCAAACTGCTGTGATGCGAAGGGATCTGGAAACTGCTGATCGTGTTTTGCCGACAGTGCCCAAGGAGCAGAGGACTCGAGTAGCGCACTTCCTTGAAAAGCAGGGTTACAAAAAGCAAGCCCTTGCCGTGTCAACCGATCCAGAACATCGTTTTGATCTGGCCCTTCAACTCTCAGATTTAACCACAGCCCTGAATTTGGCAAGAGAGTCCCAAAGTCAGCACAAGTGGCGTCAGTTGGCCGATGCGGCTCTTGCTGCAGGAATGATTCCTCTGGCTAATGAGTGTCTAGAGGAGGCTAAGGATTTCGGAGGTGAAATATCAAACTTTCAATTATTGAAATAATGAATTGAAATTGATCGCCAATTATTTTTCAGGACTATTACTTTTGGCTTCATCTTCTGGTGACATCAAGCAGTTGGACCGACTTGCAAAAATGGCCGCAGAAGCTGAAAAGCACAATATTGCCTTCAACTGCAACTTCCTCCTAGGCCGCTTGGACACATGTCTTGACATTCTAATCAGCACTGAGCGTTTACCAGAAGCTGCATTTTTTGCCCGAACTTATCTTCCGAGTCAAGTCTCGCAAGTTGTCAAACTGTGGAAGGAAGCCTTGTCAAAGGTCAGCGAAAAAGCTGGTCAAGCTTTGGCTGATCCACAAGAATATGAAAATTTGTTTCCTGGCATGGCCGAGGCTTTGAAAACTGAGCAATTCCTCAAGCAGCAGAAAGCTTCTCCTGCAGCATTGTATCCAGAGTTAAAGGTAATTAAAAAGATAGTTTAAGTTCTATAAAGAAAAAAGTGAAATGTTGCACTCTTGAAATTTTTGAATTATCCCTTATTGTACTTTATATGACTGATCAATATTTTTTTTAACAGCCCAATACTGAGAGGTCAGCTGTAGATGAAATGAGGGCTGCCGAGGCTTCAGGCCAATTCCATTATTCCGCACCACTGCCCAAAGTTGACGATGAAGACGACGAAGATGCCGAAGAAGGTTTTGCAGATGCTACTGAAAATCTAGCAAAACTGACCATCAGCACACCAGTTGCTACCCCGGCACCTCCTCCACCCATTCTCCAGCCAACCCCAGCACCACCACCGGTGCAGGCTCCTGTCCAGGTTCAGCGACCCATCGTTGAACCTGACCCTATCGACGATGATTTTGGTGACGGGGAACTAGACTTGAATGACCCTGAAGTCAGGAAATTGATGGAGGAAGACTTCGATGATGAAGATGAAGATGACCTTTTGAACTAGGTTTTTTTGTATTTCTTGTTATGAAACTAATGATAAAAGTTAAAAATTCCGAGCAACTGTCTGTATGGTAAAAATATTGTGTAAAAATAAAAGTATTGATTTTATTGTTCCAGTCTTGAAAAAAAGGATCTTATATTTTAATCATCCCTTTTAATCTAATTTCTTTAAATATTAATTCAGAACTAGATTAAAGGAAGGATGTCACAAACAGGAAAGTTTTATTGCCAACGAAAAACTTTTCTCTGCGTCAAAAGAAGTGTGTGGCAAGTCTGCGAATCGGAATTCCCGTTTGTTGTGTGCGATTGTCACGTTGGCAGCACTGGCGGCAGAAGGACGAGAGAAAACTGCCAAGATGGCCGAGAGTGCGAGCCAGGTCGAGCTGTGAGCTGCTGTTTTCGTCTCGATCCGCTGCCGACATTCGACTGGCAAGGCGAATTCGTCCCGACTGCATGGAAAGTTAATCGCAGGTGAGAAGATTTGCCTTGAATTTCACCCAGTTAATCAAAAACGTTGGCAATTTTCGAGTCAACATAGGCGCCGACCGTCAAAAGGTCGATTCGTTGACATTTCGACGGTCAATTCGTTTATGCACGGAAGTTTATTTACACAACAGTTTGGTAAAAAAAATTGTAATTCTTCAAAGTCATATCAGTGAAAAATTTATTTCTTCTTTATTTTGATAGAATTTTTATTATTGTTCGCTCGAGGAAGTGCGTGTGAAATTTGATCTTTCTCCGGGGCACAAAACAGACAATCAGAAATTTTTATCTTGAGATCGAAAGAAAATTCGCTCTCAAGTGGATGATTTGTGAGAGAGATTGGCCCCGAATTTTCGAAGGGGGTTCCTAACGACTCGCTTCCTTTCATCAGCCGCCCGCTGCAGGTCCGCGGGGGAGCGAATTTACCCGACGGCTCGCTAATTTTGGCGTTCTGCCACTTTGCCTTATTTGGGTTGGCCTTGGGGCTGGCACGAGCGAGTTTGTTCAACCCAGTTCTTTTTCTGCCCGATTCGCTTGTTTGCAAACACGGCTAGAACAAAAAATAACACACCCCTAGCTGGCACATAATTCTTAAAAATAAAATAAAAAAGCAGTCGATCAAAGTAAAAGGAACGAGACCTACCTGATCGGGAAAACAATGCAACGCACGTGTTTGAAATAAATAACCCGACGACATGGGATGATTTCTCTTCGAAAATTCATTCGCTCTCCTTAAAAGGTAATTGCATTACTCATGTACTTGTTTCTGCTTGTTCGAATAGACAATGATGTGCATTTGAATGAATTTCTTCTTGATTAAATTAACTGAATCTAAAACTAATAAATTATTGAGTTTGATTTTGTTCATTGATTATTCAAAATTATTCACAGCTAATTTTAAAAATTTTATCGATGGACAGAAAAAAAATTCAATTACTTTTTTACTTTTTATTTTTTCAGACTCAATTAATTGAACTTGATAAATGTATGTAATACATAAATTTTTGAGTAATTTTATATTAATATCAGCAAAATTAAATAAGTAAATGGAAATGCAAATGTTTTCACTTCTGAAAATAGAAAAACATTGAATAGCAATTTCCAATGCTTTTATTAAATTTGCTTCTGATCGTCTGCAAACTGACGTCAGACTTAGCATATACAATTAGGTTGTTACGTAATGCTCTCTGCATTTCGCTCCAGTCGAAAATATATTATTTATTCTTCTCCGCTGCACGTTTGTCCTTTGGTCTATTTGGGACGGCGTGAGATAACGGCTACTCCAGTTTCCCGAGGTGCTCACGGAAAAATTAAAAACTTTAATTGCTCTCATCATGTTTGTTTGTTTATTTTCTCCCGAAGCGACTCAAATTAATTAATACGTTTCTCAGAATTTATTAATAAGGTTTGTTTATCTGTTTATTCCTTTCGCGTGCTTCCGTAATACACAATTGATATAACAATCTGATGATATCATTTTGCGCCGTGCAAATTTCAGCGAGAAAGCAAAAGTTCTCGCGTGTGTCTGTCAAACAAAAACTCTTTATTTTCTCTTTCAATCACCCTTGGCTGCTCAAGCGGCGAGACACTCGTGAGAACGATCCCCTTGCGAGCCGCAACCCGATCCCGAAGCGTATCCGTTTGCTGCGCGAATTTGCAATAATAACGAGATTGGCAAATGATTGGGCGAAAGGGTTGAAATGCGACAAACGATCGGTTCGAGTTTGAAAGTGAAACTTGAGATCAGTTACATTTTTCTTATTAAAACTATTTCTTCTTAATATTTTTAAATTCTGTTTAAATATAATTAAATATTTAACTTTTTTTTAACTTAATTTCCTTTTTTATCTGGCCCTGATCTGGCTTAAGAATGACAATTTCAAATTATAGGTTTTATTGGAGCTTTAAATTTAATTATTAATTAATTTCATGTCAATAAATTTAAATCGTAAATCTGAATCCCAAAATGAAGCCAAGAATAATATTTGTATCATAATTTAAGATGGATTATTTTGAACAAATTAAAAAAAAAATAATATATTTATATTGATTCAATTGATTGATTTAATTTTTAGCTTATTTTATAAAGCTTTTAAATTCTTCTTTATAATACAAATTTGGTTGGAGATAAAAATTTCATAATTATTATAAAAAGGAAACTCACAGACAAATAATATTATTGTTTTTAAATAAAATAAAAAACAAATTTGAAATATCCTGAAATTCCCCATTGGATTTTCCTCAACGCCGATCCTTCTTGTGGTTCCTCGCTCGTATATGTAAAAACAAGTTGCCCAATTAGGCGGACTCTCGCGTGAATCACGGCACTTTGGCGGCCGCAAACATCATTGGAATGAGTAATTGGCGCGGCCTACTCGCGCTTTTCGTCAGTCTGAAATCTATTGAAAAAAGAAAAGGCGTCGCACGCCCGTTCGTACGCCGCTTCATTTGGCCTAGTCCAGTTACGATTCGGCTTTTATTGGCCCCCGTGCGCGATTATCTTTCTCTTAACTCGCCCAAACTTTTCGACACAAATGCGCACCAATTATTACGGCTGCACCGTTTCGCTTCGGCAGTCGCTCCGCACCAAGGAGAGAGATGATTGACAACTGAGACTGACGCTCAAGTTGAGGTTGAAGCATTTATTCGTTTTATTGCAGTTATTAGTGAAAAATTATTTACTTCACTTTTTAATTGACGCAGAAACTAACTAAAAAAATTAATCATTTTAAATTTAGTAAATTTGACCATTTTTCCCTTTTTTATTATTGTTATTTGTTTTTTATTTGTCCAATTTTTACATCACATTATTTAAATTTAATTTTTGAAAACAATTTGATTGAGAAAATTTTTGTTCAAAACGGCACCACCAATATCAAGAATTTTTGTCTTTAAATTTGAGAACATATTATGATAAACACATCTCCAGAAACATCAATTTTTTATTAATTATTTCTGTATTTCAATTATATTGCATTCAATTATTAAAGTGGAATTTTCAAAGTACAGTTATTTATGAAAATTAAAATAGAGAATTCTAAAATAACCCTTCATTTTAAATTTCGGGTGTAATTTTTATTTATTTTTTTTACTCGAATTATACACCAGATTTTAAAAAATTGAAAAAGTTCCTAGTTTAAGCAATTTATTGATTGCCCTCAAATTATTGGTACAATATTAATAATGAAATTTATTTCAATTACTAGGGTTGGAAACATCTTTAGGGTGTTTTCACGCTAGATTTGACCGATGCAAATTTTTTATTTAAGAACTAAATGTGTGATTATATGTATGTAGAGCAAGCCTTACAATTTTAGTCTTTTACAGTTTTGTAAAATAATGATTTTTAGAAATTACGCAGTCAAGCATAAAAATTTATTTATTCAGTAAATCGAATTCATAGAATCAACTGTATAAATTTATTTTTTATGTTTCAATTTAAACTTTAAATGTTAAAAAGATAATTAAATAATTATGTATCATTGGTTTTTTTCTGCATGTCAGGTCATTGACCTTGGTGACCCTGGAAATAATTTTTTAGAATACTCGCAAAGACAATAAAAATAATTTCTTTTTTTAATATAATATGTGCCAAACTTTTGCATACATCAAAATTTGATTCTTTCTGAATTTTTTTACTAATAAGTCGTGCAAATTATTTTCTGTTGTAGATCCGAAAATGGAGCGCAAGTCTTCGCCAGACGTGGCGCTGGCGTCGGACGTGTTCGACCAGTTCTGCGCGGCGTCGACGCTCAAGTCGGTGCTGACGCTGCACCGGCACCTGTGCGAACTGCTGCGCCTGCGCCCGGCACCCTTTCCCCACTTCTACCCGCAGCTCAGGGCAAAGCTGCGTTCATGGCGTGCGCAGGCGCTGTGGACCAAGTTTGACAAACGCGCCGCGCACAAGTGCTACGCGCGGGGGGCGGCGTGCGCAGGGACCAGGGTGCTCATCATCGGCGCAGGGCCGTGTGGAATGCGGGCGGCCATCGAGGCCCAACTTCTTGGCGCGAAGGTGGTCGTCCTTGAGAAACGCGACCGCATCTCGCGCAACAACGTCCTCCACCTCTGGCCCTTCGTCATCCACGACCTGCGCGCGCTCGGAGCCAAAAAGTTCTTTGGCAAGTTTTGCGCAGGCGCCATCGACCACATCAGCATTCGGCAGCTTCAGGTAGTTTAGATTTTGTATCAATTTTATTAGAAAAGGTTGCATAAAAATTCTCAACCAAAACTTAAAACAATTTTTTTTCTAATCCAGTTATACTTTGAAGATACTTTATTGCTTCAAATCTCAAATTATCTGATATTCTATTTTCAGGCACAAAGTATTTTATCTCAATATTTTATTCATGTCCCTCTCATTTTTTAATTCAAAGTTCAACTAGATTTAATTTTATGCAATCAAAATTGCCCACTAAATTATGTTGATTAAAATGATTCCCCCTTTTTACATTTTTGCATTTGTTCTCAGGTAGTTTTACTCAAGACAGCTCTGCTATTGGGTGTTGAAGTCCATGTCGGTGTGTCCTTTGAGCGACTTGTTCCACCGGTGGACGCTGATTTTGGTTGGCGCGCTGAAACATGTCCAGAAGACCACCCTGCGTCTCAATTCGAATTTGATTGTCTTATTGGTGCCGACGGCAAACGAAATACCTTGGAAGGCTTTGGCAGGAAGGAGTTTCGAGGAAAACTGGCCATTGCCATTACGGCCAATTTCCTGAACAAGAGATCGGAGGCTGAAGCTCGAGTGGAGGAAATTTCTGGTGTTGCCTTCATCTTCAATCAGAAGTTCTTCAGAGATCTTTATGAGGTAAACATTTCTAAAAAAAATTTATAAAGTGGCAAGTTTCAGTATCTAGTATGTCAGAAAAATATGTTAATGAAAACAAAATTAGCCTATTCAGTGCTATTTCTAACAATATATGAACTTGGAGTTAAAAGAACTCTGTTTTGTAGGAAATTTTGTATTTTTATCTTGAAGATTAATTTCAATTCAGCTTTATGCGGCGCAAAATTTTCTCTTGCGTGTCAAGCAAAAACAAAACACACCCAACCAAGCTGATAGCGCAGCAGTATTCTAATAATTCCACCCTGCTCGTCGTAATGCGGTGGTTTCCCCCGAGAGTCGTTTTATTAAAAATAACGAGCCTTCTGTTTTGACAGGCGACTGGCATTGACCTCGAGAACATAGTGTACTACAAGGACGACACGCACTACTTTGTCATGACGGCCAAGAAGCACAGCCTGCTCGACAAGGGTGTCATCATATCGGTGAGTCCAGCCATGGGGGTTTGTGCAATCGCACGGATTCACTCGGGCTTTTTTACAATAGAGGCGAATATAAAGAAAGATAAAAATTGCAATATGCATGAATAGCTTCAGCGTGGCCTAGATTGAATGAGAACCAGTTCGTTGCAAAATCGACTGCTGATTATTTGCATGGGAACTCTGCCAACAGATTGCAATTATTTATTTACGTGTCAAGCAAAAGATCAAATTTAAATACTTATTAAATATTAATAGCATTAAATAAAATATTTTTAAAATTTTCACGCCTTCTTAATCTGAGCAAATTTTAAATAAATGGAAAATTAATGTATTTTCTCTTCACTGAAAAATAGCTAATTTTAAAATCGGCATGTCAAATGACAGGATCAAGCCGACACAGCGCGCCTTCTGCATCCTGACAATGTAGACAAAGAAGCGTTGATGGAGTACGCAAGAGAGGCTGCTGATTTCAGCACCCGGTACCAACTGCCCCATCTCGAGTTTGCCGTCAACCACTATGGACAGCCCGATGTTGCAATGTTTGACTTCACTTCCATGTACGCAGCTGAGAATGCTAGCAAGGTTTGTGTCAATATATTATATTTCACTTTTAATAATTTTTGAACATTTTGGTTTCAAATTTTTTTTATACATAGCAAATTTTTTTACTTATGGTACATTTTCTTCTTCAAATTTCTAAATATTTAGATTATAATTTGATTGAATTCTTGCAGGTGCTGGAGAAACATGGTCACCGTTTGCTGATGCAATTAGTCGGAGACAGTTTGCTGGAGCCCTTCTGGCCAACCGGATCAGGCTGTGCAAGGGGTTTCCTTAGCTGCTTGGACGCCTGCTGGGCAGTGCGTTCCTGGGGCAGTGGTGGTGCTATGCCTCTGGAGGTTGTTGCTGAACGAGAGAGTATCTACCGTCTGTTGGGTCAAACGACTCCCGAGAACCTCAGCAAAGACTTCAACGCCTACACATTAGAGCCCAACACACGGTATCCCAACCTCAACATTCGAGCTGTTTTGCCTGCTCAGGTCAGTCTTCAGTTTTAAACATATCTTTGTCTAATGATGTTTTTATTTGCCACAATAATAATTTGCCTGTTAATGTTTAGGTGCGAAATCTGGTTAGCTCAGACAATCCAGCCACCCTGGAATTAACTTCAGTTGTGCAGCCGGCAAAGAAACGGCGGCGCGAGGTGGAGGTGCCAAACGAAATTCTGTACCTATGGATAAGGAGGCAGCTTTCCATTTTTGAAAACATCACAGTTTCCGAGGACTTGGCTGGCAGCTTCAGGGATGGCATGGCTTTGTGTGCCGTGCTGCACCGTTACAGACCTCAGTTGGTGGACATAGCAGCTCTGCAACAAGAAGATGCCATCCAAAATCTGCAGCTTGCGTTCAACGTACTGGAGAGAGAAGCGCAAATCAAACCGGTGAGGATACACATTGATTTTCGCGCAAGAAATTAGTGATTCAACTAAAAATAGAAATATATTCTATTTATTTCTTTTCATTATTATTCACACAAATGATTGTTTAATTTAAGCTTGTTTCACAAACGCTGGTTACTAATGAAGTATTCTTAATATTTTTTTTCCAGATTATTAAGGCTGAGGAATGGGCCAGTGGGGAGAATGTCGAGGCCATTGTTGGCTACCTGGGCCAAGTTTATGACACTTTTAGAGGCGAGATTCCTTACGTCAAGCCTAGCAAGACCATCGTAATTACCTTATCTTGGTTTCATTATTAAGCTCCTAACGTTGTTTTTCTTTCAGGAGGAAATAGAAGAGATTTTAGTGGCGCCGAGAAAGTCCATTGGAAAGAGTCCAAAGAAGAGGGCCAGTCTAGAGAGAGAGCCAAAGAGACAATTCAGAAAGAGGAGGAGCCACGATACTGTAAGTGAAGATAAATTTTTCTTCCTTAGATTTTCAATAAATTGTTACAATTGCTAATACCCTTTGCTATAAAGGAGTTTGGCGATGCCAGAAGGCAAGAAATTGAGAAAAATCGTGAAGATCGTATGCAGAGGAGGCGCATGGTGCGCCACCTCACCACTCAGACCTTTATCCAAAATATGCGGCGCATGCAAACTGAGGGAAACTTCTTTGATGAACAGAAAGAGGAAAAGCCTGAGGACTTTTCCCTAACTGTTTATCGGCAGCATGCGCCTCATTTTAAGGATAGGGTCAAAGACCTCGAGCAAAAGTTCCGCTATCCAGTGAGCACTGTTTTGTGTGCAGTGTCTTAACTTTGTTCAATTTTGTCCCTAACATGCCTGATTGCATTATTAAGGATTTTATTTTCTTGATTTAAATTCAATTTTTTTTCTCCAAACAAGTCAATAATAACAACTGAATATTTATGCAACTAACTGGAATGAGAATATTTTATTTTAACAGCTTGTATGATATTTTGAAGGAAATTTTATCTTGTGATTTATAATTTGATCTTACTTACAGGATCGTGAAAGTCGATTTTTAAATGAGGCTGTGAAAAGAACTGCACAGCCCGATGAGAAGTTCAGTGGCCGAATCAAAGAGTTGGAGGAAAAGTTCAAAAAAGGCAATCCAATACTAGAGAAGAAACCAAAAGACTTGAGGAGAGCAATTGGCCGGATAGATAAGGCTGATTGGAATCTGGCTGAAATTGAGAGGAAAATTGAGGAGAACAAAATGGGCAAGGGCAAAGCTCATGGTGGCGAGAAGGTGCCAAAGTGGAGTCACGACAAATTTCTTGATAAGGTTAGCTGCTTAATTCAGTTTGTAATATTGCTTAACTATTAATAAATATTCTCTAGATCACTCTGATGCAGAGTAAGCTCAAAGGTCGCAGCAAAGAAGATGAGGCCAAGTTCCGAGAAATTGATTCTACGCTCAAAAAGCTTGACCGGAAGATTCGGGAGGGCAGTGTTTGTGACCCCACCGGGCCCAGGGGTGCAAATAAAGTTTCTGCCATGGCCGAGCAACTGGCTAAAAAGAATGAGCCAGTCGAAGCCCCACCGATCCAAAAATCAAGTTCCAAAGGAACTTTTTCTGTGGCTCAGCAGGCCAGTGACTGCCACTTTTGTAGCAAACGAGTCTACCTCATGGAGCAGCTCACAGCTGAGGGTGTGCTCTTCCACCGTGGATGCTTCCGATGCGAGTACTGCGGAACCACTCTCAGACTAAGTGAGTGTGTTATCAAAAATTCCAATAATTAATGATTTAATACGAAAATTCGAACTATTTAAGTGTCCTGGCAATTTTTCAACCTCATTATGTAATCAAAAATTTCAGACAATTACGCTTTTGATAGAGATGGTCGATATGGGAGTCGCTTTGTGTGCACCAATCACTTTGGTCTGCCTGGTTACATTCGAGGTGCACGTGCTAGGAGAAAATCTGAAGACATGAAGGCAGCTACTTTAGATGAGGTGACTTTTTTATTTTGATAATGCCAAATTAAAAAAAAATGCTTTAATAAATAAATTGACAACTAACAGTTTTCTCCTTATCAGATTGCCTTTGCTACGCCTCGAGCAGCTGATGAGTCCGATGCAGTTGTTACTGTTGGCGTTACTCCAGAGCGTGTGGAGTTTGAGAACCTAGCTGGAGGCTTGTCAGATGAAGAAGGCTCAGTGGCAAGACCAGCCTCAGGACTGGCAGAGATGGACGAAGAAGCATGGACAGACCACAACTTTGGTGTGTCCTGTGCTGATGATTCCAGCGATAGCCAGTCTGAGAGTTTAACGTAAGAGTTTTTTTTTTTTAGATTTTTTTTTTCATATTTAAATTAAAATTAACAAGTTATTGGTGTAGTTGCTTAGTTAAGATTAGAGTTGGATTAAATTTTTTATTTAATTTTTAGGGATTCTGATGATGATGCTGAAGCTTTCGAGGAGGCAAATGATGATGCCCTCAGTGTTGAAGGCACTCGGCAGCTGGCTGAGTCCTGGAAGCGACGCTATTCTCACCAGTCAGCAAGTGAGATGAGCGACGAGGATGGAGGAAGCTCTGAGTGGAGCTGTGAGAGAGATGATGCGGAAGATGAGGACGACAGTTCCACGGCCACTGAGGGTGATGCTGTGGCTCGGGAGTTGCTGCGCCAAAAGGAGCGACTCTTGGAGCGCGCAAAGAGACGCCGAGAGGAGGACAGTGAGGTGGGTGCGGCAGGAGAGGGTCAGTCGGGTCAGGGGGGCATGTGCTTCGTGGCCACTGGGGTCTCGGTCTGCGAGACCAGGTACTTTGATCCTCCTGGGGTGAAAGAGGAGAAAGAGAAAAGTCCGCCGCCACTGGACTCTGATGAGGAGTTCCAGCTGGCCTGTCTGGACGAGGGCGAGATCCAAGAATTGGACGAGTTTCTCACCGCTCTTGACTCGCCCAACGTCGACACCAATGAGACTTTAAAACCCTCTGAACTGTTCCCCAGTAGCAGCCAGAAATATGTGCCAAAGAAAAACAAGTACTTGAGCCGTGAGTTTCGCGGGGACAGGGGTGTGAGTGATATTACCCGGGGTGTAAAGAAAGCGGCTATTTCACCTCCCAAGAAGAATCAGGACAACTGCTCCCTGATGTAGCCAGCCACGTAATTAGTCAATTGGGTGGGAAGGTAATTTTTGGAGGATTTGCAGGAATTTAAAATTGAATTGATTTTTAAAGGTTTGAAAATGCTGTGGAAAAACATTTTTACTTCAATAAGAAAAAAATAACATTTTTGATCATATTTCTAAAATTAATTTTCATTCTGACTTCTTTAAATTTTTAAGGGGAGATCATTGTCAATATTCAAAAGTTCAGCAAAGAACTACCATTATTTATGTTGATAGTTTTTACAGACATTTTGAAACCTTGTTAATTTTTAATTTTGAAACTTTCTGCAGTCTCCCAGAAAAGATTTCATTTGTTGTGTGTGCAGCTAATGCTACCCATCATAAATCCGAAAACCTGCCTGGCTGGCATGATTGTGACTTATCAAACACAAGTACAGCTGCCCCTCTGACCCGACTCGACTAACTGTCAAGTAGAAAAGCGTGTTGTCCACTATTAAGTCTTTAATGAAATTTTAACGACCCCGGGCTTCCTCACCAATCGCCATTGGGACTGGATTTTGCTGAAAGAAATATAATGCTCAAAAAATATTTAAATTTTGCTTGCAGTTGTTGAATTTTCACTAATTTGTGGAGTTCATTTTTTTTTTATCATAGTAAAAATAAAACTAATTTTTGTATTCCATTATTTCAGGGTGGATCTGATTGCACATCAACTGAAACTGAGAGCGACGAAGATGAACAAGAAGAAGAAAATTTGGCCACAGAAATTGAAACTGATTCAGAATTTGAGCTGGACTCGTCTTTGCCAACAATATTGATCGATTCAGACCTTCAAGTCTGCCAAGTAAAATCTGGACGCATCGAACGAGGAAATCTGAACAAGCCAGCACCTAACAAATACCTCCAAAAGAACAATGCCAAGAACAATAATAAGCCGGGTGGCCTGCCTCATGAAATGACTCAAGCTGCTTTGAAACACCGGCCAACCAATCTGGAGCTGCAGGCTAGAGAGAAAATTCCACTCCAGCCTGTCAAAAGCACTGAAGGCATTGCCAGCAAAACCAGTCTAGAGCTGAAGAAAAGATATTTGTTGGGTGGTGACGGCAGTGCCTTTGGGAAACAGGTCCAGAAGTCTGACTCTGCCTCTGCTCTAGACTCGCGGTTTCGGAGCCTGGTGAGCCAGATTTCTGAGCAGCAGAAACTTCTCCAACCGGCAGCACATCCTAGTCCAGCCATGCAGTCGCTGATGGACAACAAATCGCTGTCTCCCAATCGAGGCTGTCCACTGCTCACCAGCCTCTCGACTAGCAACATCTTGAACAACCGCGCCGAAACGCTCAACAAACTACCCAAAGTGCCCTCAAGCTTCGTCCATATCTGTGGAAAAAAACCTGAACCACTGAAGGTTGACGACGATAAAACGCCCGTTGTGGAGACAAAGGAAATTCTTGAAAGTCAAGAGAAGGAAAGAAAATTAGACGAATTTGAAAGAGACGTGGAGAGTGATAAAATTTCAGATTTGGAGAAAGAGAAAAACGACGTTTTAGATGATGATGCAACGCCGCAAGTTGAGCACAGGGACATCATCCTCAACACAAAGGTCATTTCTGCCGAGAGTGTTGAGGACGTTCGTCCTCGTTCACCAGCTCACGAAACTTCCATTATTGTACCAGACATGTCCACATGGCGAGCTGCACAGCAACAGGAAATGCAGCAAAATGAAGAAACCAGTGAGTCAGAAAGTGAGTCCGAGTCAGAAGAGTCTAGCACGGAGAGCAGCGACTCTGAAGACGAACTTCTTGAAGCTCCACTGGTTGTGCCACCCAGAGTGGAAATCACAGAGGTTGGTGACAAGGACATTGAAACAGAGCTGTCTGACTGGGCCCACGAGGAGAACAGTTTAGAGATGGACGTCGAGATTGAGGCCAGAAACATCACGGTCCGCCGACCAAAGAAAATCGTTACTCTGGCTGAGGAGGATGACCTCAGTGATATTGAGAAGGTGGACATCCTTACAGTTACGGAAACGAAGGAGGTGTTGACGGAAGTAAAACTAGAGGTGGAAACTCCAGTAATCACAGTTTTAGAAGAGCCTGTAAAGTCTGAAGAAGTATTGATCGAAGAATTAGACGAAGTTTTTATCCAAGAGAAGGACGTTTCTGCTATAGAGGAAGAGGTTTTGGTAATTGTTGAGGAGGAAGTTTTAGTTCTTCCCGAGGCAGATGTAGCCAAAGATGAAGAAATTGTAAAAGACCCCGTGGACATCATGACCATCTCTGTGAGCAGTATAGGCGAGGGCATCAATGACATAAATTTCGCTGACACAAGTGACGAGGAGGATGCCCAGTCACAAAAAGAGGAGGAAGAAGAAGTGTCCAAGTACCAGCCGCTGGCTCAGGCCAGCTCAAGCACAAACACCGAAAGCAAAAGTTCCGACTTTGGAAAACTGCCTGAGGTGCTTTCCACTCCTGACACTGAGCAAGAACAACTTCTACAAGACGATGAGTATGTGGCTCACATACAGCGGCTGCAAGACAGAGTGTCGCCCTTTGGCAACGCCAAAGACTCGATCGACATCCGAAAGGCGCGTCGCTCGTCCAGCAGCAGCATTTCCAGTCCGTCGCACAAGTCAAACGGCTCGCCCGTCAAAATGACGCCAGCCACACCAAGCACTTCTCGGAAGCTGGAGGAAATTTCTCGCGAGCGCAGCAGACAGAAGAGTTTGGTCGAGGACCTAGTGATGGCCAAAATTCCGCAAAAATCGGCCAGCGTCCGACGCCGGCTGAGCTCAAAAAGTCCCTCCGGCTCGCCTCGGATGATCTTGACAGCGCCCCCTGTGCCTCCTCCACCGACTGAACCGTCGCAGCCTCCAATTCCGCCCCCGCCCGCCACCACCCAACGCCCAGTTTCTGTGTTGCTTTCCAGCGTGAAACTTCCAGAAACCCCCTTGACCCACCCAGAGGCCTTTTCCTGTCCTGACATCCGGAAAGCCCTGTTTTCGGAAATGTCCCCGGTCGCCCCACCAAGGTCAAAGAAAAAACCCAAGGAGCCACAAACTGAACCTTTGAAGGGCGTGAAAAGGGAAAGAAGGAAGAGTTTGATTCAGGCCGTGTCTGATTTGTTCAGGAAAAAGGACTCGCCATCGAGTAGCCCTGAGAAGAAAGTGGAGGGGCCACCCCTTCCACCCCCACCGGTGAACTATCCCCCTCAGGAAGACAGTCCAAGTGAAGGTGAAGACTCGAAGACCTTCTCGATCGAGGGGTCTCTTCGAAGGTCAGCCAGGAGCGCGAAAAAGGCAGCTAGGCAGGCCCAACTGAAACGCCTGCGGACTGCCCATGAGTTGAAGCGGCAACTGGAGGAGTCAGAAGAGCGGCAGCGGCAGTTGGAGCAGCGAGGGGTGGCCCTGGAAAAGGCGCTCAAGGGCGAAGGAGGCCAAGCGTCTGGTAATGAGGCCGAACTGTTGCAAGAGTGGTTTGCCCTGATGCGGCAGTTGTCGGAAGTTCGAAGGCAGGAACGAGAATTGGCCATCAAGGCGCAGGAATTGGAGCTTCAGGAGCGACACGCCCGCCTCCAGTCTGAACTGAGAGAACGGATGGCTCTTGATGGTTAGTTAATTTTTAATTTGATTCCTTATTCTTGGTTGAGAAAAAAAAACAGATTATCCAAAATTTAAATATTAACCCTTGATAGTCTGAAATTCGGATTTTATTATTTTGCAGACCTTCCGTCTTTAGTTTGCGATAATTTGAATAAGTAAGTTTGTTTGATTTTGTTTCTAGGAAGCACTGATTGTGAAATTCCATGCACAGTCAAGTTTATTTGGTGATTTATTCATAGTAAGTGGTGCATGGGTGGACAGAAAGAGTGGCTTTTCCGTAGCTGCCGGTTCCCCTCGTTAGTGTTTTTCATCTAACGTTAGTTGTTGCTGCTAAGAGTGCCATTTTTTACGTCAATAACTATAAAAACAAATCAGCCACTCCACCACCAATGTCAACTTACAAACCATTGCCATTATATACTGGGCCTTTCATTCTGGATTTTAGTTATTTGAATTATTAAATTATTATTTTTTTTTTCAATTTTAACCCTTTTTTTTAATTAACAACTTCCATTCAATACTTTATGTCTTTTCATTTTAATCATATTTAAAAAAAAATTAAGTTTTTTGTTTTATCTGAACACTGGGGTCACATTTTACATATTCATGTGTTTCGTCTTTCAGCATGAGCTCCACTTTCATTTTTCTCCGTCATTTGCAATTCATTCCAGTTATAATTGGAACCCTGAAATTATTAATTTGATTTGTTTTAATCTTGCAGTGGAGCACAAGAGCAGCCAGGACGTGGAGGAGGAGGGAAAGATACTGAGCGAGATCCTTGAGATTGTTGAGCAACGCAACAGCCTGAACAACCAGCTGGAGGAGGACCGCCAAAGGTGTGATTGGTTGTTGGTGTTCTTTGGTGTTGTCTGCTTGTACTTCATTGTCCGACTGTGTGCACACCAGGTGCTCTTGTCCTTCACAGATTTGACGCCGCCTTGATTAACATTTTAATCTTGTGTTTTTAAAATTGTTTTGCTGCTACAGAGTCATTTTATTTTGTACTGTTACATTTTTGAAGCATCTCTTTATATACTGATGACTGTTTTTATCTGTCCAGTATTTCACAGACTGCGTTAGTAGTGTTACCTAAATATTCATAGTTTTATAATTTTATCACTTAGTTTAATGCTTGCCAAATGTATTTTTTTTTTAAATCAAAAGAAACAAGCTTAGTTTTGCATAGAGAGTTTTATTAACAACTTTTATAATATTTAAAAGCTTAAACTTGCTCATATATAAAATAATCCTTTCAATAAGGATCCGACCAACTATTTCAACAATATAATTTTCTATAAATATTTACATCACATTTTTATTTTTATAACATTGCACCTTGTGGCTAATTGTGGTATGTTTTTGGCACTTGGAATTTTGCACTTTGCATGCAGTACTTGGTAGTTAGTGAGGTGTTTGTCGGGGGTCTTGGAACTGTCTTCTTTCCCAAAAACAAACACCTTTGACCGTCCCGACTCAACTCGGTGTCCGTGTGAAGGTAGCAACCCTTTCATGTGACTCAACCCCACTATTTACCTAATGAGGCTTTTGTTCTGACTGTGCTTCAGGTACTCCGAAGAGGATAAAGAACTGGAAGCGCAAATGTTGGCCAAAGGGCTGCGACTCACGCCCCTGAGAAAAGAGTCGAATGTGTGAAATCCGCTTTGAGAGAGGCCCGTTTACTCGGATTTCCCGCTCACTTTCTTCCTCTTCGAAGCCGCCGCATTTTTTAAAATTTGAGTTCCATTTGTGTACAACCGTCAGGTCATTGTGATAATTCTTGTGATTTTACGTTGTTGTTTTAAAATCGGCTTGAAAATCATAATTTTAATCGAGAAGTTTTATCCTTTTATTTCTGCTCTCACTTTGAACAGAGTGTTCAATTTGTAAATTACTCACAACCGAGATTTCTTTGATGTGGCCTCGAAAATTTAAATGTCCAGGTGTATTAAAAAATGTATTTTTGAAAACGAGCACCCACTGACAAATGAGCGCCTCTCTCACTCTGTCTGTTTTTCGGAAATGACCACTTGTTCACAATTGTCCTCATCTGCCTTGACAGACGGTGCAATACGGAGAAAAATTTACTTTTCAGCACAATTTTTATCGAGAGACTGCTTTTTAACGTAATGATTATTTTTATTACCTAGTCCTGTGCATGCTGCTTGTTTTGAAAACATGTTGTTGTAACAACCATGTAAACAATCGTAATTTTATATCGTACTATTGCGCCTGACTAATTGATTAAAAAAAAGTGGATAATAAATTGTCAATATTTAAATTATTCAGCCTCGTATGTATGCGTGCGCGAGTTATATTATTATTGTAATAATTATTATTGTATCATGATCATTGATTATATATTATTAAAAACCACTGGTCAAAGTAACAAAACAAACAACAGCCTTGTGACTCAAATTCAGATCCCGGAGGGGTGCTCGGCCAACACGAGGCTAGCGCACCACTCGAGCATGTCCTGTCGCCGTTCCATGGCGATCGTGCAGCCAAAGAAGGGCCTCTCTTTACTTCTCACTGCCTTTTTTCCATCTTTCGAAATCAATGAGAGGTACCATCTTCGGTCCCTAGTTTTTTTTTTAATTTATTAAAAAAAATTACTTAAATAGTATTTCTCACTTACCCTGCCGGGCCTCGTTTCGAATCGTAGCCCTGGTACCAAACCATGTCCTTGATGGGCCACTCGCCAACCGTAACCGTCGAAGTGCCCTTGATCTTGGCACTGGAGACAACCCCTTGGCGCAGCTGCAGGAAACGGGTTTTGTACGCCTTGAGTTCGGGGGTGGCAAACTTGAATTGGCCGCAAGCAATGGCAGGAGGCACCGCAAGAGGCTTTAGCTCATCGTAAAAGGTACTTGGCCCCAGCACTAGTTTGTTGTGTGCGCGGTCCTCGTCGGTCCAGTAACCCCATCGCGCCACCACCTCCATCACCAATTCGGAGGGGTGTAGAGGTCGCCAAAGAGCGCCTCCAAGAGCAACCTCCTGCAGGCGCCACGTGGGGTGCGCTGCTGCTTCGGCAACAACGTCCTCTGCCGTTTTGTGTGGGTTGAGCTACAATTTTATAAAATAGTTTAATACAAAATAAAATAATAGACAGACTGGGCATTTGCGAACCGTCCTTGTTGGTCAGTATAAAAAGACAATTTATATGGAGTGAAAATAATTTTATTATTACATCCAGTTTTTTCCTTACTTTCTAGAAAATTGTGACATAGCTTTTTTCAAAAGTGCCAAAAACCAAAACTGAAGGACTACCAGAAGAGTCTGCAAAATTTCCTGCATAGTCTTTGGCCTTTTGACGATGACAAGAATAATGAAATGAATCAACGCCAGAAAAAGGAGCAGTAACAAGCAATTTAACGATGCTGCGAAATAAAACATCCAAGTTGATTTCGCTTGCTGAGCAACTTGAGGGATCTCATCTGAGTTAATCATTTCTTCTTTCCCTTCACCAGGCAAGGGCTCTTTTGTTTGAGGGTTGGTGTTCATTATATCTTCAACGACATTAATAACTCCCGAAATAACATCAAGGCTTTCTTGGAAGCAAGAGCTGGCCGCCGAGCAAATCTTAAGAAAAATGGATAAAATAAAAATGTGCAGCTCCGAATATTTTTTGTTGAGTGATAAAACATAAAACACAAACTTACAGTGTCAACTACATTCACTACAGCCCCCACAGACATGGTCCTTGTTCGATGGTGGTGGTTTTTTCCGCCTGCACCTAACCAGGCTAGCAACACTCGGAAAAACTCGATAGATTGTAACAAAAAAGTTGAAGATAAAACCACACACTCCAGAGCCCATCGAGCCGCGTTGCGACGTTTTAGAAATCACAAGCGGATGCCAAATGACCACACAATCTCCTTTTCTTAGGTGACGATGATACATCTAACCCAACAGGAAACCCAAAAAAAGGAAGTGCAACAACAAAGCTTCCCTTTTATTTGGATATCCCAATCATATATTGAATGCCAGTAATCTTCATGTCTAGTGAATTTCCCAAACCACTAGCATAAGATAAAAATTTTACAAGCCCAGTCTGTCTTAAAGTAAAAAATCTTTGTAGAATGTATCAATGCAAAAGATTACTCACCAAAACTTGAACATTTTCTGTGGATGAGGCGTCGCCCAATGTGAGCCAAATTCGGAGATCTCCTGCACCAACAGTTTGTGGCGGCGCACTGTGCAGACGTTCCAGCATCCTTAGCACCTTTGTTTCTTTCTGTCTCTCCAAGTCGTCGACTTCAAATACGGACGGAAAATCTTCAACTAAGGTAGTGAGTACAGTTGTGTTGGCCTGTTTACGAATTACAAATCAGATAATAATAATTAAAAATTAAAATTTAAAAAAAAAGTTCATTAATTACACTGGTGTTGTGAGTTAGGCCAACAGCCCATACAGTGGCGAGGTTCTTTGCATCCATTTTATTTCTCGATTGCTCTCTGGTGATTAAATTCAAGTGGCTGAGGACCTTTCGAAGGGTGGCAAAAGCGACCTTGTGCAGTTTGTGGCGGATGAGGTGGCCCATGGCTTCAGGAGTTTGCGTTTTGGCTAAAGTGTTCATCAGTTCAGTGCTGAGAATTGGTTCTGGTAGAGCAACGAAAAATCGTTTCAAAGCCGAAGCGACGAGGTGCTCATTGTAGTCAGCTATGGTCAGAGCTACTGAATAAGGGTCCTTTTGTAGTGCCTCCAACAGGGCGGAAACCTTTGACGACTGCCCAGCAATTCTGTAGATACCTTCAGAACTAAGACCTGCAAATTTGAAATAAAAATTTAAGTTAAAAGTATATTTTAATTTTTCTTATATTTACCATTTGTGATGACAAAATTGGTGCACATCTCGACGAGCACCACAACATTATTTGGCGTGAGCTGATGCTCTCGGAGGCTTTTCCCGTTTTTCATGATTGCACTTTTAATTGCAAGGCGCCACCTTTCCGTTGCCTTCGGACCGATACCTTGCAGGTACAAGCTACTATTGCCCAGCTGCACCACAAACAGAGACTCTCCTGACAAAATGCCATCCTCACTATCACCATCCTTTTCTACAAAAGGAAATCGATTAAATTATAAAATTTATACCGAAATTCAAGAAATTACCAAAACACCTGGCCTTCCTGAGATCAATTTCCTGCAGCTCTTGCCCAGGCACTAAGTACCTGAGGCGCCGACCGTGCAAACTGAGCCAAGATGGACTCCACGTCCCGCCGACACCTTCCTTCAAGTACAACCATCCAATTCGAGAAGCCACATGGTGTATCAGGGTTTCCTCCGTCAGAGCCTGGGACATTTTGCTCATCCACCTTTCTCTGTCGTCCTCTGACTGAGCCTCAAACATGATGCTGTTGAACGAACTTCCATCACAGTTGAGAACTTCAAAACCAGACTTGTCCTGAAGCAGTTAAAAATGCAATTTAATTTTTTTAGAAAAAAAAATATACTGTGACTAAATGAAAAATCTATTTTTCATCAATAATTATTAAAATTACCACATAATAATAATCATTAATTATTAGATTTGATAAACTTTTTAAATAAATCTGTTCAACTTTGGAACTACAAATTCTAAGTTTAAAGGAGAAATTTGTTTAGTATTTGCGTTTTTACTCTAAGAATATTTAAAAATAAAAAATGTACCTGCAATTTTACGGCAGCCACTTCAACAGTGTGCTCTAAATTCCAGTTCATCCACTTTTTGCCACCATCCGGAAACCAGGAGATGTTTTTCGTACTGATTTTGGCCACACACCTCACCTTTTCCCGGCCACACATGGTAAGTCGGCCCTCGTGGATGTGGCGGTCGGCAGAGGGCCTCTTTAAAGCATTCGACGGCATCTGCGGAGGCGTCAAGCGACTCGCAGATTCCCCCATGAAATTTCGGAAACTGCGAACCGCCCTGTTGATGCCGCTGACCCTCTTGACCGCCGCTTTCATTTCAAGTGGCGTCTCAACGCTGTTTCCAATCCGGGCGGCAGGAATGTTGTCCCACATCTCGCGTGGAATCGAGTCCTGCCAATCGAAAAAAAACATAATTGTCACATGCTTTGTGGGTTATTTCAATGAGTATGAACGAAAGCTGGAGATAAAACATTATTTCATCATGGCAATATAATAATATTGCTCAACTTCCGCTCATTTGCGGTCTAGATATGCATGCTTCCAGTGATTTCATTGAGAAAAGCAGGAAGTTAATTTATTTAGAAAAATTATCATTTAAATTATACAGCAATATATAAATAACACACCATTTCAAAAATATTCCCAAATTAAAATTTTTTTTAATGAAAATATCCGAACCATGACACAATAAAGAAATTATTGTAATTACCATTCGAGGTGGAGGTTCAGGTGGTTCCTCTTCAACTTCAGGCTCATCCAACGCCACAGGATCATAAATATGTTCCGACTGTCGCTCTGTCTGATGGTTTGGCTGTAATTCAGGAACAGTTGCATATCCTTCATTTACCTCTTCAAGATTTATATCTGTCTGAGGATTGTCGTTGGTTTCGGCAGGATTCCCATATTGAGCATCTTCCTCTTCAGCCAAATCGTCTAAACTGCCGTTGCCGAAGTCAACAGAGTCAATTTGCTGGCTGAGCAATGGGTCAAAGTCGACAAGAAGGGACTGCGTCACCTGACGCTTGATGCCTGAATGTCGCATCTGGACTTCATCCTGAACTGAACTACTCAAGTCGTCCTCTAAAGATTTCACAGAACCAGACGATCTTGGAGACAATGGCGTTGCCAAGTGCGTACTAAGGTCCTGCTCATCATTTTGTGAATCTTCACTGACAGGCGACTCTGTTGATGGAAAAATTCAATTTTATGTGATAATTAGGACAAAAAAAGTAATAACAAAACAAATCAAAGATATAAAAATAATTATCTCTTTAAATTTGTGAATTAGGTCAAGAATTGAGCAATTTATCAATATTGCAAAATAAATAATTTTAATAAACAAAATATTAACCTAGAGACGGTGATTGAGGTTTTGGTAGCGATCTGGGTTTTGGCACTGGTACAGATAATTTTCGTGGGGCAGCTATTGGGGCAAAAGCCGGAAAAGCTCTTGGTTTTGGCCTCGGAGATCGGGGCATTGGCACAGGGCTTTCATCCTCCATGTTTAACTCATCCATGGCCTAGGAACAAAATCTTGTAAAATTAAAAATAAATTAAATATCTAATTATACTATTTATTTTATATTTTCATCCACATATTTTAATATTTAATTATTAATTTAATAAATATCAAGATATTTTATTTTAAAGTTAATCCTCATAGAAATATTAGCAAAAACATGAGGTGGGTTGTCAAATTTTTTATCTCAATCTCTGTCAAAGCAAAACAACAGGTGTTCTATTTTTTTATGAATATACTGATATGCAAGACGGAAGCTTTTCTGCTACTGTGGCATGATCACGCCCTAAAATAATTTTATAATATTCCGTGTCCTATGTAAAACTCACTGAGACAGACGCGGGATGGTCACAATAATCGTTCATTCAACTCGTGGTCGTCATTCTTAGCGCGAGAGTGTGACTCATTTTATCAGGAGTGGAAAAGCAGAAATCATGTTGTTGTTAAAAGCGACTTTTCCAATCGACACTCGACGCTCTCAGCAGGTGGTGCTCACTTTTAGCAGACAGATTTGAAGCTGTAAAATAGGGACGATTACTTTTATTGAGCGATTTTATCGGCAATGACATACACAAAGTTGACTGCGAGCTATAATCGGCGAATTTCTTCACGGGACGTGCGCGATTTCCCGCAAACTCTGGCCAATTTTCCAGTGCTCTTGAGTCGCGACTTGAATCGAAATTGCGGCTGCGTCTCTCAGCGCCACTAATGCCACAAGTGTCCGCTCAAAACAGCATGTTCATTGGTCAATGCTAGTCCACGTGACTTAAAAACTCGCATTCATTGGCCAAATTTTGCAAATTCTTGCAGCTTGTCTGATGAAAGGTTTTTGCACAAATACAACCGGTTTAGATTTGTAACCTTGCCAATACAATGCAATTTAGCAAGTTTTTGTTACAAGTAATTTATTAAAAATCTAATATAACTCAGTTTTAATTTTATTCAAGAGAAAACTGTTAAAAGAACTGAGTAAATATGGTGCAAAGTGGAGAAAGGAATTTGAAAAGTAACCGGTTAAGGTAAAAATACCGTCCACTTTTTCAATCGTAGTAAAAGTAAAAAGAGAGAGCAGCAGAGTGCACGAAAAACAAACAAAGAGTTTCGGCTCATTTTGGCCCGAATTAGACCATTACCGAAGGCGCGACGGGCTGCGGATCGGTCGGAATGTCTTCCAGGGACTCCTCACCGAGTTCCCGAGGTAAAATTAAACTGTTCTCGATCTGGAATCTCGATTCTAACGTGTTCCAATTTTGCAGGAACACCTCGCAAGGTGCTACTTGGGCCACCCCCACAGCAGGGGTCCTCATCTTCGAACTCGAACAAGCGACCCCTGCTGCAGTCGCCGCCCTACAAGCGACCCTTGATCGCCGATCGGCCAGGTTGGCCGAATCGAGATCGAGATGAACCTCCGGCCAAACGGCCGCCGTTGCTGCCCACGCCTTTCACTTTCCAGCCGCCGCCTCGACCGCCCACGCAACAGGCGCCTCCACTTCCACCCCCTCCGCCGCCTCTTCCGCCCATGCCACTTATGCCTCCGCCCCAAAGAGCCACTCAGGGTCTCCTTCCGCACCCCAACAGGAGGCCACTTTTGCCCTCGCCGGGAGAAAAGAGACCGTTATTGCAAATCCCGCCGAGGTTCCGAGAGCCCAACATGCAGAAACAGGGAGGACCGCCTCCGAGAAGGTCTCGCTCGCAGCCGGGCTCCCCAAAGAGGCCCCTTCTGCCCACCCCCCGCATCAAATGCTGAACCCAATTCGAGTCGGGAAGGCGGAAACCTGGGAAAAAATCTGATTAATTTTTCAAAATAATTCATTTGAAATTTTGTGATCTTGATACTTACTTAAAAACGGGTTGTAATTTTTTGAAAAAATTCAATTTTTGAAACTTGGTTCCTCTAGCTGGACCGACTCTGCGCTGACCATAATAAGAAGCAATCTGTTTTGCTCTTTTGTTTTAAAAATGGCTCAACCCAAGAGTTTTGTGCGAAAAAATGTCAATTAAAATGAACACGTAGCGATTTTTTATTCTGAGCGCTATGTGCAGTAAAAAGTAATAATGTATTAGATGTGTGCAGATGAAACGTAATTTAGAAAGATGTTGTGCCCTTCACTTTTTTTTTAAATTGATTTTCATCGCTATACTTAAAGAACAAAAATGTTCAAGGCCTATTGAACTTTTTTTATTAATTAATTAAATTTCAATAATATTACCAGCTTGACATATTTGAGGAATTAATTTCAATAATTTTGGTTGTGAGATTTCTTATTAAAATTGAAAAGTGTCAATTATTGTCAGCTGAAGATAATTAATCATGTCGTTAAAATTTGTTTTGCATATATTTTAATTTCTTTTATTATCCTTCCTTATTATGCTTATAATTTATTTTTACCATCCTGTTACCACAAATATCATATCCTAGGAAACATATTTTAGTGTATATTTCTCAATAATATTTAAATAATTTTCACACATTTATCATTTTTAAGTATTCAAATTTAATTCGCCTTTAAAAATTAACAGCACTTTTCTGCAAGTTTTGCATTTTTCTATACTTGATTGCGCTCTCTCCTATTAAATTTCTTAGACTTAGCAGTTTGAAATTAACCAGTGAGTGTTATACATATTATTATACCAAGCATTATACACAAAAGTCATATATATTATACAGATTATCACTGCTATTGTATGTGTAAAGTACATTAAAAACTGACACACCATGAAAGTCAATTCTCCAACAAGCTACGTGTTGAAACAAGAAAATAAATGTGGCGTCCACTTGTGATACTCGCACCATTATTATATAATGATAAAAAAAAATGAAAACTGAAAGGAATTTAATCATAATTGTTACTCAAGGCCTAAACTCTGTGTAAGCGACGATTTTTCTTTCCTTCGTACCAATAAAAAGTGTGAATAATGAACTGCTTGATTTTTATTTACCGTCTGGCGTCTTTCTGATAAGGAAAATATTTTCAACTCATTATTCGGGTGCAATCCTTTTGCTTAAGATGGCTCTTGTCCTCTCCTAGTTCAATTAATTGACCCGTTGGCCAACTGGCTCATTTGTTATTTTGCATGCGTCTGCCGGGGGCGGATTTTTTAGACCGGCGATATGCGACAGGTGCAAATTTTTGACTAACTGCGTGGGTCCCGCTGGAGTGTCTAAGTTTGGGTCAGCCTTCGAACTAAAAGTAGTAGTAGTTGGCTCCAGCTCCAGAAGGAAACAACATGCAGGAGGAAATCCTGGAGGATTTTGTCGGTGAGACAAAAAATTGTATAATTTTAGTGTTTATTCATTTTTGATATAGATTTAATCAAACAAAACTATTATAAGAAAAAATAATTTTCTTCTAATATTATTATCCTTTTGAATTAACTGAAAAAGGTAATTTACACTCAAAAAATTTGATTATTTTTGTCACAAAATCGGGTAATAAAAATAAGAGGAAATTTTATTTCATTGTAAATTAATTGTTAAAAACTATTTCAGTGTGGGAAATTATTGGCAGCTGTTGGTTCTATTTAAAAATGATATACAGTGTGAAAACACTTAAATCCCAGAATATTAATAGACCATCTTTTTTTAACCCCCAACGCCACTCAATCAAATTTAATCACCACAACGTGTACAGAAGACTTTTTTAACCCATAATTGAATAAGCATAAAAATTTTTAAAAAGGCACATTTTTGTCTGATGATTATTCTGAATTTTCTTTTTGCACTTTTTAGCGCCGTACTTATTAAAGGAAAATGCTACTTCGGCGTGCGTCGAGTGGGTGCAGGCCAAAGAGCACCTGCAGGTTTCAACCTTCAGCGAGGTGCCCTTTCAGTAGTTATAGTATGGGCATTTTGCCCGGTCGACCCCTGACCCCAGGTCAACCTCCCATAAGATTAACATTGGCCATAAGATTAACATGGGCCATAAGAATAACATTGTCCATAAGAATAACATTGGCTGTAAGAAATACACGGGACCGCGCGGCACTGCTCGCTCGCTCCCACTCCAATAAAATATGCATTGACCATAAGATTAACACGGGCCTCCCATAAGAAGAACCAAAGCAATTAATTAACGATTTTAAATAAAATTAACACTTTGGCCCCCTCCCCCCCTGGGAGCGCGCGGCTTGCCGCGTGCAAAAGTTTTGTTGTTGGGACTCGATCCTGCCTAATACGAAAGCATCGCGCGAGACCTAACCGGCCAGCCACGGAGATGACATTGAAACGAGAGCAGATATGAGCATTAAAACGAGCAAGCGAAAACCTGTTTCACGCAATACACAGACCTAACTAAATGCAGAAATCAATCCACGAAAACGAGAATGAAAACGAGAATCAAAAACGAAAACGAAAAACGAAAACGAGAATGAAAACGAGAATCAAAAACGAAAACGTAAAATGAAAACGAGAATCAAAAACGAAAACGAGAACGAAAAAAGACAACAAACGAGAAACGAAAAACGAGATCCAGAACCAAACTATAAATTTATACTTTTTAATATTTTCTTAAATTATATTTAGGAAAGTTTAATTGCAATAAAAAACAATGATTGATATTTATTTATTCATTTTATTTTTCATGATTTATTTAACATCTTTTGTTACATATATTATATTATTATTTGTATATGTTAATTATAGTAAACCTAAGAAACACATAGGCACTTGTTGTTTTTAAAAATTATTTTTTTTTTATTCTCAACAATTTAAATCAACAACCCTTTTTGTTCAAATGTGCAGACTTTAGATCGCTGCTTTTGTGAACGAGTTATGGCCTTGATGATAAAAACAACCTTTATGTTCAAATGTGCAGTCTTTAGATTGCTGCTTTGGTAAACAGATTATTTTTTCATCAAAAATGTAGAGAATAAATAGATGATTAATTTATATAGATGATTTTTTAATTTTATTGCATATTTTATTGTATTCCTTGTTTTGATAGAGATTTCCAAATCTTTGTTTCATCAATTCTATCACCACCTCATCATTAATCAATGGGGAAGTGGTAAACTTTTTCAAAAATAAATCAAATGATCCATTATTATGCATGTGAAATAAAAATAATGCTGCATAAATACCACATAAAGAGGAATAATTTGATTGAATTGGAATTAAATTTTTTGTTAATTTTTTGCAATTTGATTGAATGAATTTCAAATGATCTTGAACCATGGGTAATGCCAGTGAATCAAAAAAGAAGCAATGTTTATCTTTAGAAATGTACATTGCAACCCAATGATTTCCCATTTGAGTATGGTCTTGGAGATTTGAAATAATATAGCATGGTAATTTGTTGCACTGGATTTTATCACTTGGAAAAACTTTGCCATCAATGCAAGAAATCATGTCTGAAAGTTCACGGGTGTTCATTTTAAAGAGATAAAATAATTAAAACCACTTGCGTAATGATCAACAAAACGTAAACAACACCCTCAAATATTTTCGTGTATTTCATCACCGACGCTGGCAATTGAAATGATGAAAAAGAAATTAGAATGAGCCTTTATATTTTTTATGTCTCGAGAAACACCTCTCCCGAATGAGTAATATTCAGTGTTTGTGGCATTTCACCAATAATGATAACGGAAAGAGCTTTCTTGAGTTCAGAGGCGAATTTAAAATCAAGGCTTAAAGTACCTGTATTAACTTGTTCTATGTTGGTTGATTCGTTATCTGAGCCGAATATTTCAGTGAGAATAAAAAAGTCGTCATTGAATTTTCCCCTGGACCAATTACTACTTTTATTACCTACTAAACCACAGTTTGACAAAGAGTATCTGTATAATTCACTATTATCCATATCCGTTGCATTTCCGGAAAAGTCAAATTTTATTTTTTGTGATGGATAATTCAGACCGTTTACTGTGATGTTGTAATCCGATAACGAATGCGGTTTTAAAGTGTGAGGGCTATTTGATACACTGCCGTTGAGATTTTCTTGTTCTATGAAACAAACGTAAAGCTTGGTGGGAAGTTGATTTAAAAATACGTTGGGGATGCTAATTTGCATACTTTGAGCAGGAATAATTTGCTGCTTAATAATTGATTTTACAATCGGCAATTTATAATTTTTTGTCTTCAAAATTTCCAAATGAGACATGATTATCTCACTATCAATTTTTAAATGCCTAACCATAAGAGATGCATCCACTATATGCACCTTTGCATCAGTCACTTTTGACATCAAAAAGAATTTGTCAGAGGTGGGGATCAGTTTTACAGCAAGCGAGCAACCGACGGGAAGAGGTTTATTTTGATCAAATAATTCGCCTTGTATCCTACCCACAAATGTTCGTTAGACAAGCTAAACCATTTACTTCTGGTTGACACGCCTGCTCCAGTCAAACTAGAAGTTTCACCTGATCCTTCTACCGTATAACCTTCAGTTTCCAAGAAATCATATTTAAAGTCTTCATTATAATTCAAAAAGTTTCCAAGGTAACATTTTGTTGGGTATAAACCTGAATATTGAGATATTTGGGTGTTATTAATAGAAACTAAACAATCTGAAAATAAACTGGAGAGCCCACTATTTACGCAAGATACCAAATTTGAGTTGTCGGCTAAAAATGCATCGAGTTTTGTACCGTCAGCTTTGGTTATTTTAATAGTAACCGATAAATAAGTATCTTTCAAGCTAATGTAATTGTCTGATTGTGCGTTGATGTAAAAATCAAGAGGACCGTTAAAAGTGGGTGGAGCAAGACTCTTATACCGAACGTAATATCCCTGCTCCAAGGTGTTATTTACAGGCCTATCATCAAATAAATTTAGATAATTTGGAATTGTGACTCGTCTCATTATGAATGAAAAATGTCAAATTTTGTTCTTGGTTGCGGACGTATTTTACCAACTCTTCCTCCGCCCGCTTGCTTGCGAACTCTGGTACCAAATTCACGTGCGCGTGTTTTTATACTTTCAAAGACCGGTTTGTCATCGCGCATATCCTCCAAGAAATTAATTCCACTGGTCACAAATGCCCTTTTGAGCATTTTGATGCCCGGAGCAAAGAGCGGAGTGAGCGAAAACAGCACCGCTTGCAAGTTCGACATAATCCCGTGACCCATTTGGGTCGGCGATCCAACAAAATAAGCATCAATCCCAGAACCTTGCTGAAAGTATCTAATGTAATACTCATTTTTATCCATTATTTTAACTTTAAATGAAGACAAATCACAGTGTTAAAATTATCTTTGAACTTGATTAATTCGCCTGTATTTGACCGAATGCTAATATGCACTTTATTGAAATAAAAATTATTCAGCGGTAAATATAATGGCGTGCTTATTCTCTCACTTGTCGACTTTTTAGTATCAAGTTTGGAGCTCACAAGCAGCAGCTGCGATTCTATGTTTGATACTATTGAATGAGACACGATATCGCAATATATATAGGCGACTGGCGAAAGCTCCTTCTCCTCAACAGGAGGTAAAATGACTGATACAGCGGCTACCGAGTAATCACTTGAAAGTTCCAAGTATCGCGGAAAACAAATATAAAATTCGCTCGCTTTGTTTTTGGGAAAAACGTTTTGACAAGCGTTACTTATTAAATAAACGTATTGCGACATTTAATCTGGGATGACTAAAACCATTTCATCTGGATACATCAAACCTTCAATGACCGCTCCTTTTGAGTCTTTGACCTGGTACATTGGAATGTATCGTTTATATACGATTTTGTCGACTTGAAATATCTCCTCTGTATAATTCTGGGTGTATCCCTTTTCAAAAGTTTGTTTTATTTTCGCAAGCCGCACGAAATCGCCAATTTCAAATTTTGGCGCTTCTCTTTTTAAATTTTCTAATTTTGTCTTGTATAAATTTATAAAAACTTGTTTTTGATCAGCCGTGGATTTTATATTGATGGGCGCAAATTTTGTTGCTTTTTGCTCTGTATTGTTGTAAGCGTTGACAATTGAATCTAGCATATCAACATAAGTTTTTGTATCTGCGTGAGCCATGTAGCGATAAATACGTTTCTTCAAATGCAGAATAAAATTTTCAGCCAAAAAACTTTTCTTCTCACCCCGGGCAAATATTAATTTTACGCCGTTCTCTTGCATAAATTTTTGATAGACTTTAGCCGTGAACTCGCCTCCAGCATCTGTGTACCAAAATAATCCAGGAGATTTGGCTCTTTTAAAAACCAGTTTGGTTGCTCTAATGACTTCGTCGGGCTTTTTAGATTTGATTGGGATCGCATAGCCCATTCTAGAGAATCCATCAATGACGCATAGCAAATACTTTGCACCTTTATTCCATCTCGATAATTTACTCATATCAGCCAAATCTGCAAAAAACCAATAATTTTTCCGTGGCACAAACATGTAATTCGTTTTAAATTTTCTATTTCGCGGATAAAACAATGTATAGGATTTCTTTTTGTGCAACCATTTTTTAATGTCATCTGGTTTATAATGATCTTTAAATTTATTTACTAATCGCCGCGCAGATGTGAACGAGGTTGAACTGTGGGGATCAAAATAGGCTCTAGTTAAATCTCTGTTCATGTTAAAAACGATATTTAATCCAATCCAAATTTCGTACACTTGGAAACGATAAATCTATTGTCTCGGTTAGGCCCTCGCCTTCTTGTTCGTCAGACGACTGTTCATTTTGCTCACTGGCTGCTTTATTTATCTCTTTATGAAGCGCATCTTCAAAATCTTTGTAGCCTGGCAAAGTTTTATAATTTTTTTTACTAACAAATTCTCTCAAATAATCACTCATATTACTTTGCCCCAATTGCTGCCCGTTAAGGTATACATGATTTTCATCCCATTGAAAGTTATCAGAATTTAAAATGAAATCGTCAAATAAATTGATTGCTTTTCTTACGTAGGAGGCGGGGACATTTTCAGCTATTTGATTTCTTGTGTCGTCAATTAATTGCGCTTCGTCATACTGACTTTCTGCATTTAATTGTTCTTCGTCGTACTCACTACCAGTTCTTGTTTCATCTTCATATTCGTCTAAACTCTCCTTTCTGACTGGTTTATTACTTATTTTAGTTATTACCAAGGGCATTCTGCGCTTTTCACTATCTGCCAGGTGGCGCTGGAATACACTATTATAATTTTGAAATTTTTCTTTTTTGCCCATGTGATTATTTTTTGCAATCTTGCCTAATTGCACTTTGATCGTTGAATCATTTTGAGGGTAGAGTGATTGAAGTTGCTCACGGCTAATCAGATACATTTCGTTACTTTGATTCATTTATCTTTCCTTTCAAAAGCTCTACAATAAAATGTGTAACAATAGGGAGCAAAAATTGTGTCAAAAAACCGGTTCCGTATTGATTGATTGCGTCTTTCTTTTTCTCCCAATGGCCTTGTGCGCAAAGCTCCCTTAAAAGATGCCTGTACTTTCTTAAATTTTCTTTTTCCCTGTTGCTAATTTCAAATGTGCCTGCAAGTAAATTAGAAGCAACCTCACACACTGCTTGAATTTCACAACGTGAAGCAAGCTTAAAAAATTTTGTGTTGTCGTGAATACTATTCGATCGCAGCAAAGCAATCAGATGCTCAGTGCGTGGTGTGTTCATATTAAGTGTGAACAGGGATAAGTTCCCCAGTATTTATATTCTCATCAACAAACACGCGGGGAAAATCATCAAAAATATTTGAAACTAAACGGCAGAGCGCATGCGTTTTTTGGTGAAAATCAATTAGTATGTAGCCATAAGGACAATTCATTGCTTTATTACACGAGTTCATAAAAAATTTGTATTTTTCTGGCATCATTTGAAGTCCCAAAGTACGTAATTGTTGCCTGTCGCGAACATTATTGGTCAAAATCATATAAGTACAATTTAAACTTGTCGTTCTAATGTTTCCTCCATTTGCGAAAAGATTTTGTGAAATGAAAATGACACTTAAATTATGATGATGAATGTATTTTGTAAACAATAATGACACAATTTCATTTTTTTGTGCAAAATCCAGCATATCATCAATAATTAATAGTCTATTGCAATTGGGATTTTGATCTAAATTTTCAATTATTCCCTTGTGGAAATGAACATTTTTTAAATTTTTAAACTAATCAAAAGCCTTTTGATAGATTGAATAGCAGTAAATCACCTCGTCAATTTTTTGATCAGTCATTTGATTTAAATTGCGTAATATATTTAAAACAATCTGAGATTTTCCTGATTGGGAGGGGCCGCTGATCATCAGACCAAATGGTACTCTAAATTTAAATGGCATGATTTCGGAAGAGAGTGATTTGGCGCTCGGTGAGACACTGGTCGTCAAACCAGGAAGATCGGCTCTTTATATTGAGATCCACGAAACAGGTTTTCGCTTGCTCGTTTTAATGCTCATATCTGCTCTCGTTACAATGTCATCTCCGTGGCTGGCCGGTTAGGTCTCGCGCGATGCTTTCGTATTAGGCAGGATCGAGTCCCAACAACAAAACTTTTGCACGCGGCAAGCCGCGCGCTCCCAGGGGGGGAGGGGGCCAAAGTGTTAATTTTATTTAAAATCGTTAATTAATTGCTTTGGTTCTTCTTATGGGAGGCCCGTGTTAATCTTATGGTCAATGCATATTTTATTGGAGTGGGAGCGAGCGAGCAGTGCCGCGCGGTCCCGTGTATTTCTTACAGCCAATGTTATTCTTATGGACAATGTTATTCTTATGGCCCATGTTAATCTTATGGCCAATGTTAATCTTATGGGAGGTTGACCTGGGGTCAGGGGTCGACCGGGCAAAATGCCCATACTATAACTACTCCTTTCTTCAGGTCGCCTTTGGGGTGGCCGCCTTCCTTGTGACCCTTCCGTTTGTGCTCTTCCGATTTTCCTTCATGCCCCTCGGTGCTCCAGCAGCCGTTCTGGTCGGCGCCCTGCTGATGGTCCTCAGTGGCGTGCTGAGTCAGGACGAGGCCTACGCCATTCTCGGAGAACGGTCACATTTGCAGGTCACCTTAAATATTTTGACTTTCCAAACAATTTTTTTTTTTTAAATAAATTTTAAAATTATCAGACGATTTGTCTCCTAATGGGCACAATGCTGCTCGGCCACTTCTTTCGACGGGAGCGCCTGCTCTTCCTTGACACCCTTTTCCCCTGCGGTTTGTCCACCCTGGGTCTGCTGTCCCGCGTCGCAGCCTTGACCTCCGTGGTGGCTGCCCTCTTCACCAACGACGCCGCCTGCGTCATGCTGACCCCAGCCCTGCTCCGCCACTGGATTCAAATGCGGCGGCCGCACTCGGAGCTCAAGGTGCTCCTGCTGGCCATCGCCACCTCCTCCAACATTGGATCGGTGGCCACAGTCTTTGGAAACCCTCAAGTTAGAGATTTAAAAAACTAAAATTCTTTGATGTATAATATAAGAATCTAATCTAGATGGCTCTAATTGCGGCAAAAACCGACTCGCCCTTGTATGAGGAAAGTCGACTCGATTTGCGCACCTGCCTCCTCCACCTTGGCCCACCGGCGTTAGTTTGCAGCTTTTTCAATGTACTGGGCCTTTGGTTGTATCATGCTATTTTCCTGAAGAACAGAAATGAAGTAATTTTTGTATCCAAAATAAAGTTATATTATAATTAATTATAAAATTTTAGTCCTTTGACACGGACGCCATTGAGGACGAGGAGAAAAATGGACCTGAGGTCAAACTGAAGTCTTGTGTGGCTTTCAGAGTGGCTGTGGTCATCGTTCTAATATCGGTTGTCACACTTCTAGTCGTCTCTTCGCCCAGTCACAAATTTGACTTAGGTTTGCAAGCTATTTTTTTTATCAACTTTTTCATAATATGAAAGTTTTCAGGCCTGGTGCCTGTGGCTGGAGGGGCGATTCTTGTCTTCTTGGACGCTCTGCTGAATCGTAACGAGGGCAGTGCCACGCTTTCCAATGTAGACTTGAACATCCTTCTCATGTTTTTTGGTTTCTTTGTCTGGCTGAAGGGTGAGCAAATTTGTTAAAGAAGGCCAATATTGATAAAAATTAATCATCTTTTAGTTTGACAAACAAAAAACATAAAAATCAATAAATGAAACGAATTCCAAGCAGTGTCTTGTTTTGATAGAGATTAAGATTAATTAAAAAAAATCCCAACAAATAATAAATATTTTGACAACTTTTAAAAACAGCCTATTTGATGTAACGTATTTTTTGTTTGAAGGTTTCAACAAGACCAACCTGCCTAACTATGTGTGGCAAAAACTGGGTCTGGCCAGCGATTCCCTGGATTCGATCAAATCCCTCAGCCTGCTCTACGCCTTCATCCTGATTGGATCCAACGTCTTCAGCAACGTCCCTTTGACCATCCTGGTGCTCGACCAACTGCCACCTTGCGTTCCTAATTTGCCCCTGGTCCTCTATCTTGGCTGGGTCGCCACCATAGCAGGCAATCTGACCCTGTTCGGAAGCGTTGCAAATCTGATTGTGGTCGAAAAGGCGTACGAAACTTTGCGCATCAAATTCACTTTCTTCGACTACCTCAAATACGGATTTTTCTCTACCCTAATTCTTTCCATTGCTGGAATGTGTGCCATTTACCTGTTTCTCTTACTTTGAGATTTGCTGAGTTGCAATTAAAATTCGATCAGTGTTGTAAAGAATAAAATATTTGGATTTATTCTGGGGAATGATGATCACACACAGATAATGGAAATGTCTTTGCAAGAAGCACCGGTCGAATGTTTGCTTAGTCTGCACAAGTGAATCACTCAAAAACGGTTTCACTTTTTCTTCAGTTGGCTGCATATCCACTCCAGTCCTTGGTACAGTCTTAAAAAGTGAAAGGAAACAAGTTTAGCCAGATAAAAAAAATTATATAAATGAATTTAAAGAAAAGAAATTTGCACTCACCCTTCACCAGTGAGAGCGCAGCAGGACTGGATGTGCCACTGGTTCTTTTTGACGGAGGTCAGGTCAAGCTGCTTGCTGATTTCAGCCGCGCTCATCGAACCCTTGAGGTCCTGCTTGTTGGCGAAGACAAGCACAGCTGCGGAGGCGAGTTCCTCGTTGGCCAGCATCCGGTAGAGCTCCTCCCTGGTCACGGCCAGCCGCTCCCGGTCGGTCGAGTCGACCACCAATATGACGAACTCGGTGTTGGTGTAGTAGGTGCTCCAGGCGGCGCGCAAACTCTGCTGCCCGCCCAGGTCCCACATGATGAAGTGAATGTTCTTCCACACCACTTCCTCGACGTTTGAGCCAATCGTTGGAGATGTGTGGACAACCTAGAATAAATTATATCAAAATGACATCATTTAAAAAAAAAAATAAAAAATAACACAACCAATAAAATCGGATTAATTTTTGTTTTAAGAAAATTTATCTCATATCCAACTCAGTTCATGTTATTTTAAAAATTTTACAAAAATTAATGCTGTGAAAAAAAATTGGAGGTAAATTTAATTTAAAATCAAAGAAGCTACGGAAAAAAAATTGAGATCAAGGTTACTTAAAATCACTTTAAATAAAATTGATATTCAATAAAACGATTTTTTTTATCTAGATTATTTAATTAAAATTGAAATCAGGAGTTTCAATAAAAAATAATTTTTCCTTCGCAAACTTGTTTGGAAATTACTCGACAAGCGTTGAGGTTAAACTTATCATTACTAAAAGGGCACGTTTCGCGCCATCTGAAGCTGTATATTTGCAGATAATTTTGCGTTGCAGATTGCAGAAGATAAAGTGTCTCGCGACGAGATTGCTTTCATAAGTCAACCTTGAGACGAACGAACGAAGGCAAACTCAGTGCTCAGTACTATAAAACTATAGTTGCGAAATTGAAAACGTCGTGTACAAACCTCATTCATTAGGAACTGATAGAGAATCGTCGTCTTGCCGGCGTTGTCCAGCCCAACAATCACTATCTTGTGTTCTGAAACAAGTAGGAAGAGATTATAATATGTGAAAGATTAGCATTCAAATTTAAATCCTGCTAACCATCAAGTTCAGTGAAAATTGTTTTTTGTTTCATTTAATTTAAATGAAAGATTTCCTGTGACAAAAATTCACAATATAAAATAAATCTACCTATTCTCACACAAAATAAATAAAATAATCATCAATTATAAGTTGTCGTTAAACCTGGTTTGAAAATGAAATCCTTTCAAACTGTTAATTTATATTGAGAATACTTGAACAATTGAAGATGTGAGAAAAAAAGTTTAAAAAATTTAGCAATATTGATTTAAATACACCAAATTGGTAAAAATTTATTTAAATGTTTGTATGTATTTAGCTCCAAAATCAATAATATATAATAAAGAAAAAAAATTATTTTATTCCTATTTTCGATCAGGAACAATTTTTGTAACAGGATACGGCTGAAACATCGTAGTCGGAAACGAGTGAGAGATTCACTGACGTGAGTGGAAAGAAAAATTGCATCACAATAATAATATTGTCACGACAGGTAACAAACAATTAAACGCGCGCCTGAAGTGCGAAATTCGCGTTGATTCAGTCGGCAAAAAGTGGCACTTCTTGGCTTGGCGTAACGAGATTAATTCGATCCGTCCGCGAGTGCGTCACTCGATATCACTTCACTCCCGCACGTTCCGCGACCACGGGCATGAATATAATAATTATTATAACTTGTAATAACTCCCAACGTGATATATGATTAGAAAAAAATTTAAAAAAAAGAGTCATCGAAGGCATATCGAAGGCAAGGCGCTGCACCGAATTGGCGATCGAGTGAAAGTCAAGTCCGTGGAGCATGACACACTTTAAGTGGAGCAAACAAACCTTGCATTTATTCATGAATCAAGCAGGCACTCTCTTCCTCATTCCCACGTCTGGATTCGATAGAAACGGTAGAGAACAAAGGCGAAATTAAATGAATTTGCGCGAGAGGTGGAAATTCTGGGTTAATAAAATCCTCATTTGACCCGATTTGACCCAGAAATATTTACATTATTCTGTACTCATTTTTTTTTTCAAAAATAAAAATAATGTAGAACTAAGATAAATTAATTTTTCAAATTAAAAAAATAAAAATAAATTTCATTGTAATACTGAAATTATCTTGTTTTTGTTCCATTTGAACTTTTTCATAAAATTGATTTAATAAAGATACTTTTTGAAAAATTAATTTTATCGCAGATTAATTAAATATTTGATTAAAATATAAAAAAGCCATCTTTTATTAGCCCACTTTTGTAAAAAAAAAGTTAAAAAAAAAAATAAAGTGTTAGTTTTTTTTTTAAATTTACCTTCTGAAACTTTATTTATTTCTAATGTTAAATTATCAAATCCCAAAACAGTGCCACAGGTTGAGTTTTTTTAATTATCTTAGCCTTAAGCTTTAGGGTTTAGCTTGCTTAGCTCACCTTCATTTCCGAAAAGATTCCACAATTTGGAGAGCAACAGTCCCATTATCTGGCCGTGTCCAGAAACCTGCGGATCAGACGAAAAGTGCTATAAATATCACGAGCAACACGTCGACAAACTAATGGCAAAATAATGTCATTTATTGTCTCCATCCACGCGCAACAAGGGGTGATTGGCATCGTCGTGGAAGTGCAGCAAATCGGATTATACTCGACGATAGGGGCTGAGGGCAAAATGCACTGTCAGACGAAATGTCGCAAACGTACCTCAGTCGTAGCAAAACTGGCCTCGCGGGCGTATCATCTGGGCCACATGGCGCCCGGAAAGTCGAAGTAGAAACGTGCGAGGCCACAAGACCCCCTGCAATTCGGGAATCAAGGCCCAAAAAACGCGAGAGCAACGGTGTTTGCAACACTCCTTTTCGAAAGCAGCTGACACGAATGGCGTCTCCCGCGAGCGCCACGCCGTGGCGCCACCGTCGACACACGTCTCGGAAAAAGGATTGCAATGCGCAAATCCGGCACCTCTGACGCGCGAACCAGGATTTTTGTGGTGACGTCTGGGTGGGATTTTTTGCAGCTTCAAGCTTAAAGAATTGATTCATTCATGTTAATTGCAGACAGAGGAAAAAGTGGGAGTAAATATCCTAAATTGGAATGAATGAAATGTGTGAATAATTAATTCTGGTGCAAATGAAAAGAAAAAATAAAAAACAGGAAATTGAGAAAATGACACAATAATCCTTATAAAAAATTGTAAAGAAATAGTTTATTGATAATGAGTAGGTAAGAATATAAAAATGCAGAATACAAGAGTATTTTGTATTGTCGAGTTCGTTATGAACAAAAAATGTCTCAACTAAAACACCCTTCTCCGTTTTAAAAGTCTGACTAGCCTTTCTTACAATTAACTTTGCTACACTTGGGCCTTTGTGATGTGAATACAAAAAATCAGATCTCACAAAAAATACAATCAAATTACCAGATACAATTTAAGTTTTCAGAGCCGAAAAAACTAATTTTCAGTGGAATGACAAAAATATTTGTTATCTTCGTAATCCATCACTTGTTTTATACAAAAACATCCCAAGAATCTATCTTGAGGCTTAACAGTTAAATTTCACAATATGGCTATTAATCGGGAGTTTTTGTAATTAGCACATTAAAGCTCAGACCGTATTTTAAATACTGATTAATTTAAAAGTAATAATTTCACTGCTGCTTGCAACCCTGATCCCTCTTCTTTTTCTTCTCGAGTGACGCCGTCCTCCGTTGGCCCTGAATGGGCATGTAGGGTGGCGCCTCCTCCTCTTCTTCATCCTCAACCGATTCGTCCTCAACCTGATCCAAATCAGTGGTGATCAAATCCGGTTCGGCCGCTGCCATTTGCTTCCGAGGCATTGACGATTTGTACGTTGGGTCGATTGCCACGGCGATGTTTTGAGCGACAGTCAGGGGAGGGTCGGGATACCTGGGCTTGCCGGTGGCCCTTGGTCCTTCCTGCCCACCTTCAATCGCAGCCTCCTCTTCCCTCTGCAGACGCCTCAGTCTCGCTCTCTCTTTGGCCCGCCGCAGCTTTGCTCTTTCCTATAGAGAAAATGATTACAATTGAATTTAACGGTTTCAACATTTTAACACTTGAGTGATTGCGAGAAATAGAGTACAATGTGTACCTTGTCATGCAGCATTTTGGCGAGTTCGTGGTCCTGAGCTTCGACGGCCATTTGCCTGTCTTTGTCTATAGCTGAATCACCTCGTCTTTTAGATTCCTGCTCTTGTAAAAGTCTCGCAAGCTCCTATAGAATATAAATTTAAGTGATTTTCTCCAACATTTTCAATATCAACAGAAAATGGAAAAAGAAGTAAGAATTTCTTGAGATCCAAATTATAAGTTAATAATTTGATACTATCAAATTGATAATCTCTCTAAAAAAAAGATTATAAATCAAAATAATAAAATTAGATTGCTTAAGTTTCTGATGAAAATTCTTACTAAATTTTGAGCAATAAAAATTAATCATCAAGCAAGTTCTGCCATCGATGTGTGTCCCCGTTCTTAGCGAGTGTTTCTCTAGTCATGATTCTAAAAAACACACGCACCAGAGCAACACCCACTACGAACAGAAACGCTTTTGCAGATCATCTCCGTTCCAAGACTTTTGTAAACTTCCAAAATTCTACTGACCGCGTCTTGTTCCTCTTGAAAAATCCTAGCCTCCTCCTCCGTCATGTCAGGGTCCGGCTGAAGACAGAAATCGGAGAGGTCGTCTAGGTTTTCCGCAACTGGAAGTGGAGCTGCTCTCCTGGACATTTGCAAACCCGACGGACCAGCCACATCGGACACAGACATTTGACTAATGAAATATAAAAAAAATTGTAATAATTTTCGTAAGAGAAACATTTAAATACAAACCTCATTGGACGAGAGAGATCTGGGTCAGCTGCACGAGGCCTTTTTTGCTCATGTAACTGAAAAAGATAAGAATTTTTTTTATTAAAATTGTATAAATTTGCCATAAAAATTTGTGCCCTCGTTAAGATATAAATCAGAATTGTGAACTCTATTAGATTAATTAAATTATATTTAAATTTATAACATTTTTTAATTTTTTTTCCTTCTATTATTTTATTAAACCTACTTGGAGTTGAGAGGCGATTTTTCTGTCCCGACTTTCTGTCCTGAGTCGTTTCTCCTCTTCTTCTCGTTCTAGTTTTTCAGCAAGTCTCCGTGCCACCTCGGCATCCATTTCCTCTCTGAAATTCGCAAACAAGTATGAATTACACACTCGCGGCTTGTAATTCAAGAAAATTAAAGAGTGGCGCACAAAGAGGACTCACTGTTCTCGCAGCATCTGCTCGTACATGGCCTTGATGCAGGCGGCTTCCTCTTCTTCCTTCTGCTGCTCCGTTCTTGCCCTCGGAATGTCTTCTCTGACAGTCGCATTTCTCGACTTGTTGCCCGTGTAATGATCTTTGACTAAAACAAAAAATTATTTAAATTTGTTTAAATAAAATGCCTGAGAAATTGATAATATTTTAATTATTACAAAAAAAAAATAATGTTTTATGAGTTCAGGTATTAAAAAAAATTAATGTTTCAATTGAAAAATTCAACTATTTTTGGTGATTTTATGCAAATAATATATTTTGTTACAATTAAAAAAAAAACTCACTCTCTTCATGCTGCAGTCGGTAGGCAAGGGCGCTGTCCTCGTGAACGAGCCACTCACGACAAACTGTAAGATTCAAATTACGATTACGGTCATTTTACCTTACACGTAGTGCGTATGTGTAATTGAACGGACGCGCCGGTTTGCCAGTGAAAAAGCATTGTCGTGTCGCGGCCTTTGCGTGATACGTGTGCGAATCACTACAGCAATTCCAGCATAAAGTCAAGGCCGGACGAATTAATTAAAACACGCTTCAGTGACCAGCGCGCAGTGTACAAAAAAAAAAACTAAATTATTCATTTGTCGGCCAATTTAGCAGGCAAGTGAGAGTCAAATATAATCATCCATATAATGAATTTGAAAAACAACACTGAGGCGTGTGACTTTTGACGAGCAGGTACGAAGTCATTAAAGAATAGAGCGGATGTAAATTTTTGCGAAAAAAAATTTATATTTCTCTATGAAAGTTTCAACATTTGGGAAAAAAAGAGCTTTCTAAAATAAAATGAAAGATTGCAGGAATTATAATCTTTCTTTCGAGCACAGTTATATATTTTCACGAGATAGCATTCGGAGGTTGGAATAAATTTCTTCTTACATTTCACCGAGTCGGCAAAGAAATAAAAAAAAAAACGCAGTGCCGGCGCGAAAGTAAGAAGCCGTAGTGCGATATCTCCGCTAGAGTCGAGTCATCTCTGCTCCACTTTTGGCTCGCTCAACAAGTGGCTCATCCATCCGTCCTCTCTGCTCTCACAGATAAATGCGATAAATGCAGTCTGCTGTGACGTCACGATTTAATTGCCATTCGGGTCAGGCCCAAAACAAACGGCGACGAATGCAAATTCGACTCGGAAAATTTTAATCAAAAAAAGAAAGAAAGGAACTGCAAAAGAGAAGAGTTTGGATCAAAATGATAAATAATTCGGCAAAAATTGGCCGCAGCTCGCAGGAAAAAATAAAGGGAAACGTGTGAATTCCTAGAGGCCCCGATCTAGGCGAGGTGTGACCCAATCACGAATGAACTCACCCTCGCTGACCTTGCCGCGACGCGGCATGGTCTCGCTGTCAGCCTTGTTCTTGGCCATGTTCCTCAGGTCGCACTGCATGGCATTGATGGCATGCCCTCGTCCTGACGGATCCGCAGGAGGAGTGCGAGGCCCGAAAAGTTCCCTCTCCATTCGGTCCCACGATGGCTGGATCCGCGGAGCCGTCGAACGCGAGCCACACTGTTGCCACACGTCGCGGCCCGACCACTGACCTCTGGCGGCGCTCACGGCGATTTCAATGAACGAGATGGAAATTTTTGCGAAATAAATTAATAAAATTAATTTTTTAAGCATTCCCGTTCACGAAAATCGCAGTTTTTCAAACATTGAAAAATTGACATAAAAAAATTTAAAACAATAAATGTGAGCCTTCTTAAATAAAGAGTCGTTTTTACATTCTTGAATCATAACAACTAAATTTTCATTTTGTAAAATATATATATTACAGAAAAATTGATTTTGTCTACATAATGTCTACGGTAAAAATTATTCCGCTTAGTTCAATGTTTTGAATTTGCTGTCAAAATATCAAATTGCTAAAAAAATAATTAGAAATTTAAATTCTTTAAGCGCACAGATCTTCTGTTACATTGATTCAGCTCGGTGTAAGTGCCCTCTGCAACACAATTAAATCGAGATTAAAAAATTACCCCTTTTCAGGTAAAGTAGAAATGTTTGTACCTTGAAAAATTCCCTCACACTTGCGTCAGAGTCGTTGGGCAACGGCAGAGTGAGCGGATTCGGTGGTTGTGGCGAATTCTCTTTTTTCTTTTGCACGGAGACAAATGCGGACCGCATGGCCTCTCGCTGCGCCCATGCATTTGCAGGAGCTGGCGGAGGAGCAACTGCAGTCAGTTTGCGCCGTCCGTGTGACAAATTCAGGACGTCTGACTTGCCGAGGCAGAAGCAGCGTTTTTCAACACAGCCCCATGAAGCCTGACCCTGAGGAAACACAGAGTCAAACAGAACCTGGACCTTCGGCTTGTTTTCATCCTCATCGTCAACACCTAAAATCAATAATTAAATCAGTTTTATTACAAATTATTCATTAAAAGTTTGTTTTGAACACTTATGAATATTATTTAAATAATTTTATACCTATGACAGTGCCTGTGAGACCCATTGGCACAGCGAAGTCCTCTCTAACACTAACAACCCTGTCAAGGAGCTTAAATTCCACGGTCGGATCCACAACCACTGGGCCAAAATCCATAATTGGCTAAAATTCATAATTAATTAATTAATTTTTTAAAAGTGTATATTAAAATTACTTTAAATAATAACTGAGGGTCAACTTCGAGCCTTCTGACAGCTAGTTTTACTTTTCTCTCAGACCATCTAGAGACAATCTGTTCAAGAGCGTGGACGTCCTTGGGCTCGAGAGCTTCTGCATCGCACCTTCTAGCCTCTATTGTACTTCCAGGCTGTTCCGCAAGCCACTTTTTCAAAGCGTCCAAGCGTTCGCTCCTAAAAAAATTATTTAAATTTAAACTATTGATGCAAGAATGCTTTAGAAATGTAATTACATGTGCAAAGAGAAGACATCAGTGGCCTTGATGTATTCGTTCCTGTTCTGGGGTCTGTCTCTCATTCCCTGCATGTAGTTAAATATTTCGGGGAAGACGCACATGTAGTCCCGTATCAGGTCTATGGCTCGCTGGGAGTAGACCCAGTCTCCGTTAATTCTCTTTGTGAAGCCCGGTATTTCCTTATTTTGAGTGTGCATCTTCAATCCAAGACCTATGTTGATCCTATTCCTCGACTCTTTGGGGTTGGTCATCAGAAGTATGCCGGATATCTTGGAAATTATGGCTGCCGGTAGACCAAGAAATCTGCACACACTCAAACCTGTGTAAATATTATTAAAAACAATAAGAATAATAAGGATTTAAAATATTAAAATATACACGGCATGTAAGATGAGCTAGTTAATAGAATGGCACTTCTTATTTCATCCAACGGCGGATCTTGAGGTATTTGCACTTCAATATTAACTTTGTTTGGCTTATTTGGAGGCAAAATCTGGAAATTAAAAATAGATTTTCAACTAATAAATTATATAAAAAATCTTCCAATTTACCTTGGCAGTGTATCCGTAATTCTGAGGGTGCGTTAGAAAACAGAGAGTATCAGGCTTGAACACATCATGAATCGTATCAAACTGAGAGATTTGTGGAGCCAATGCTTTGAGACTAGGGACAACGGTCTGAACAGCACAGCACTCTTCTTTAGCTCCCCACTAAAAGTTTTTCATATTTAGAAATGCTCTGTAAATTTGTACCAAGCCATGCCTTCTTTTCCACAGTGACTTTGCCATGAGCAGAGTACGCAAATTTTCTGCCCTCTAATACTCGGACCCTCATCATCACTTCAATATCTCCAACAATAATTCCTAATCTGCCCTGGTACCTATAAAAAGTGGAAATAATGAAAGGAAGCACAACATTATTTATAACAACAAACCTCTCTTTGACAGCTTTTGACATCTTCGAAAAATAAGCTTCGTCTGTTTTCTCCTCTTCCACTTCCCGGTTGCCATTCACTTTGTTCAGTTTCAAAGTCCGTGTTTTGTCAACCAGAGCTTCGACCAAAGCCTCCTGCAGGTGAGGATAATTAACCCAGACGGGTGTACCGAGCAGATGCAAAAAGTCCGCAGCAGTTTTCAGAGCACCCTCTTTTAATTTGATGAGCAAAGTGGGTCTATCTTTGGCTGCAGGAGAATCAAAAACTTTGACGCCTATCGATTCCAACTTGGTCAAAAACTGCATATGTCGAAAAGTGGGAAAGCCAGGCACAAAGAGGCTCCTGTCTATTCTGGGACAGGGTCCTTTCACCAACAGGTGCGGCGGAACATCTAAATCGGGCACTGGCGATGCCAAGGCGTGGCTCCGAGGTAGTGTGGGGAAGTAGTCGGTGGCTGCCACTTTACCAATGCATTTAGAGCTGAAGTCGAATTGAACCGCAATACTGAAAAACATTTTTATAAAATTTATTATTTGTAATTTTTCAAATTGTAATATTTGGCATCAGTTTTCACCTAAATTCTACAATTGAAAATTAAAAATTCACCTATGTCTATTCCTAGCTTTTTCGTCAGCAGTGAGTCTGTGCTCCACAGTAGCCATGGCTTCGAGCAACTTCACCTCGTCTATGAACGGAATTAGCACCACAGCCTCCCAGTCCTGCTTTTTGCCGTTGAGGTCCGTGTCAAAGTCCTCAGGGTAAAACGGCTTGAGGGGAGACGAGTCCATCAACATCAGAGGGTGATACGCCTGAGGTAGGAGGGTTCTGCTAGCTGCAGGCAACACCCCGAGCAGCTGCTGGAAGGGCAAAAAGGGTTTCCCTTTGTTGAAGTGGTAGCCCTTGCTGGGTCTTTTGGCGTAAGCAGCCACATCAGATGCATAGGGTGCATAGTGATGGGGGTAGTACCACGACCAGGAGCACACGCCGTCATAGTAATAATGAGCCACCCACTGGATCCCTCGAAGATATGCCTCGGCTTGCTCTTGAAGTACATCCCTAAAATAATTGAAGTTGAAAATTTAAAAGATTGAAAGGATCAAAAATCTAAATCATTTTTATATAAATATCTCTCTGGATAAATTTTATGTATAGAAAATCATCTCACTCCGTAACATTACTGTAGCAAAGCTTTTCTGTGTAGTAGTGCCGCTTGTGCTGGTAAAATTCAAGATGCAATGAATCCTTTGGCAGTTCTCTTGTGGGATGTTTGCCAAATACCTTGCAGGCCTCGTCTTCCTCTTCAATTTCTTCAAGCTGAACGGAAAAATGCTAACTTTAACCTTTTAATTTATTTACTAACATACAAAATCTGTATTAGCCATCAGGCTGGCAAGATCACTGGATTTCTTTTTAGAGTAATACTCCTCCGGCATCTCCACGTCTGGATTCATATTTGCAAATTCCTCAAAGTCGTACTGACCAAGTTCGTCCATGAATTCTATAAAGCGGTCCATGGCTATGGTTCCAGCCTCATTCAGGTAGCCTTGAAATTTAAAATTATAATGATCAATAGGATCACTATTTGAAATAGAATTGATTTACCATCCAGTTTAGGCAAAACCCTCATGTAGATTCTGTACATCAAAGGCAGAGCACCTGCGGCAATGTGCAGACCAGGAAGGTGCGGGAGAAAATCATTTCCCACAAGATAGCAGATGACAATCCAGTCGTCAATAATCCTCTCCAGATCATATCCGAATTTCAGTTGAGACTTCAGATGGGAAAATTCCAGATCTAAATACTCCCGAAAAAGGGATAAGTGCAGAAGGAAGAATCTTATTTCGGCAGGAGAGGCGATAGTTTTTGTGGCTTGCGAGGAGAACTTGACCTGATTAAGATTTTGAAATTTAGACTTAAATTAAAAGAAGATAAAAAAAATCTTGCCTCTTCTCTCAACAATGAGAAGTTTGGTTCGTGGGTGCACAAACCAAGCATCATCAGGTCAGCGTCCAAGCCATAAAGACAATGTCTTGTGGTTGGCTCGTATTCTGGTTGCGCCTTTAAGTACCTAAAATTATGATAATTTGATTTAAGTTTTCCGCAAATTAAATAAAAATACCTGATATAATCCATGATTTTGTGTTCTCCTTCTCCGGGAACCTTGAATTAAGATAATGGGAAGCAATGATATATTTTTATCAATTACATATTGTAATCTTCATGCAAACCTCATGTCCAGAGAGAACGATTCTAGGTCTCTGCCAGATTGGGTCAGTGCTCATTTTGACCTGCAGGAAATACTCCAACTGCTTTTGCAAGCGCACCATGAACTCAGTACCCGGAGTAATGCAGTTTGAGTCAAATCTCTCCCCGTCACCCTGAGCCTATGTAAAAATTAAATTAAAAACAGATTAATAATGTTTTAATTTCTATGAAATATTAAGTTTTTTAACCTTCTCGTCATTTTTCTCTCTTTCGGCTTGAGAGGCTGCGTCTTTGGCAGCTCGGAAACGCCGGGCTCGCTGCTGGTTCATTTTGGCGCGAGGAGCTACGCCATCAACAGCCAAGAAGAGCAGTCTGCGTGGACGTACCATGCCCACAAGTCTCTCCAAGTAGCCAAAAATGCCCTTGAAGATTTCTGCTTGGGTGATGCGATGGTTGTGGTTGTCATTGGGATGCGAGCAGTTGTGGATGATGCCATTCATATCCAGGTACAGATTATCAAATTCAGGCACCTGTGAGAGCCAGATATATTTTTATTAATTTAAATTTTATGTTGCTGGTTTATTTATAAACCTGATGTTCGTGAATCAGCTCGTTGAGGCACGGATACCTCTCGCTGATCCACCTGAAGAACTTCGGGATGCCCATGGTGGTCGGTCAAAAAAGCTGCCGGAAATTTGAAAAAATGGTTGAGAATCAATCGGTTTTTGAAGAAATTTGACAGGATACCTTAAGACAGAAGGGCAGATTCAATACACGTATATAATAATTGCGATTACGTCATTCAAAGCCTGTAAAATGTTAGGTAAAACATTTTTATTTTTGATCTTGATCTGTGTCACTTTGCGGAGTGAGTGTAAACACGACGGCAGTGATGCCAACATGAATTAAAAAATCCCATTACAAAATGTTAAAAACTTTACAATGTTAATAATTTTCGTTTTTTAATTTTGGTGTGGGTGCTATTAAAATAATTAAGCAAATGTTTATTAATTAATTTACTTTTATTCATAAGACCTACTTTTTTATTACAAATCATAAGCAAAATTCATGGTTCCTGAAAATTGAAAAAATGCAAGGGAAAAATTTGATGAAAATTTTGATATTTTAATACACACAAGCTGATAATTCTTGGTTCGAGAATTTAAGAAAATTTGCAGATATCTAGATTCTGAAGTTAAATTCTCCAAGCAATACATACCTTTTAACATAACGTTTCATATAAAAAACCAATATCTGCATGTTTAATTATTCTCACCCCAAGAGCTATTTTAATATGTGTATTGTATTGCAGGTTTCAAAAAACTTAGATGGTTTTAAGAGAGAAATGACGGAATACTGCATCATTTATTACAGGCTATGTATTAAAAACAAAAATTTTTCAAAATTTCACTAAATGAAAAGTTTGTGATTATTTGTAGGACTAATTTGCATCCAAATGAATAAACTGAAACATAATTTTAAAAAAACTCAAAAATGCTTTACAATTAATCCGTCATTTGCCTCTGAGGGAGTCTTACCAGCATGATAAGAAATTAAATCCAAACGTCAAGCAAAATCATAAACGCACTGCCAGCTTCACTGTAAATCAAGAAATTAAAATTGTTTGTCTGGTTTCACTGCTGCTGCTTGAAACGTTCCGCACGCAGTCGCTTCCTCTCTTCCGAGGTCAAAATCTTAACATCAGCCAAGTCAGTGACCACTGCTGGTTCTGTCGTGTCAGCCGTGGCAACAGTGGGGGTTGCGGTCGAGAAACGTTCCTCCCTCTGCTTCTTCTTTTCGTCAGCATCCTTCGACTGCACCAACGGAGACACATTCATTCCAAACCGCTCCGCCCTTTTTCTCAAAACTTCGAGCTGCTCCTCGGACAACTCAACCTTGGCTTTTTTGGCTGCAGGTTGAGAAGTTTGGTCAGGGGCGGCTGCTACTACAACTTCAGGGGTAGTAGTTTTCAGAGTTGTGGTCTCAGTGGACCCAAACCTTTTGGCTCGAAGGGCCAATCTCTGCAAAAATAAATAATTCAAATTATGAAATTCTGAGAGGTAAATTAAGTAAAAAAATAATTACCTCCGCAGAAGTCAATGGCAAAGTGCCAAGTTTCTTGATACCAGCTTCCGCCGTTTCAGTTTTTTCCCCAGTTGACTGAATTTCCGCCACCGGCTCGTCTGGGAAATCTGTCCGGTTAAGGACAATCTTCCTGCTTTGCTTTTCCTCCTTTTTCGCCTGGTCCTCTTCTTTGATTTCCTCGACCTCGTCCACTACCGCATCTTCAGACCCATTAAGATTTTCGTCGTCGTCTTCTGGTCAAAGTTTAATTGTTTTAATTGAGTATGATTTAGAAGTTGAATTATTTATACCTTGCCCGATGACCTCAGCGTCCAAAGCTTCCTGCAGTCTGGTGACCAACTCTTGTTTATTGCCCACCGTGTTCAAACCTCTGTCCTTCAGCTCCTTCTTGATTTCTGCGACCTGGAAAAGATTCGGAAAAAGCGCAAAACGTGAAAACGTGTCCTTTGCCGACTTTCCAGGCTCAATAAAACGTACCTTCAACTTCGACACGTCCATTCTGGCTGTTGCGTATGTAAAAGTGGGATTTCACCTGTTTGAGAGACTTATCAACGCAAAACGCAAATCCTTCCAAAAAAATCAGGGAAAATTTGTGGAATAACGCGTACCGGTTCAAGAATCACGACCAAAACAAACATAAATGGATATTAATGGCGGTCGCAATGCATGCCAACTGAACAAAGTTAAAAAACACGTTTTTATTTATGTACTTTTATTTAAAATTCAGGGGGACGTAAAATACAACAAGTATTTTAATACTTTTTTAATTGGTTTGAAGATTTCAGTGGGTCCTCATTTTTCAGAAAAGATTTTGGTGACATTTTAATTTTTGTACCTGTGATGTTGGCATTAAAATTTGTCATCCCCAGCCAATCCTCGCCAAGCAGGCACAGCATCGCAGTCGGCCCGCGCGATTAGTTTGGGTTCGCTTTTGCACTGCGCGGTCTCAACTCAAGCACTTAACTTAATTTTAGCAAATAATATTATGGAATGTACAAAAGGAAGTTATCTTACTCTTTCAAAATTAATAGATCAACCCATATTTCCGTAGCAGCTGCTTTACTTGATTGAGCTTAATTATTGACAATATTTAATGTAAAAGTAAGGGAATTTTTTTGCATGTTTGCCATTATTATCAAGTATTTTTGGAAAATATCAGGCAAATATGATTTAATTTTTTATCGAGTTAATAGGAATTTCATTTAATTTTAAAATTATAAATTTGTTATCAGATAAATTAGAATAAAACAGAATTGAAAATTAATTATAATTAATTTTTTCTCTCTACAAATTTTTTATCACCATAACAAATTGACTATTTTTTCTTCAACAAAAAATTCTTGTCGTAAGCAATGATACTTAAAATTTCTTTATCCTGAAGATGTGATTCTGACCATTTCTGACTTGGCTGAAATATTGTAAACGCTCATCCATAACTGTACGCCTGCCGCCTGCCATTTCTTGAAATAGGCAACCTGCGTGGCAGCGACGCAATGACAGTTGCATAGGTTTGCAAAATAATGTGTTTTGAAATGAATTAAATTGAGTAAAAAATTAGTACAACTCATTTAATACCTTCATTGAAAAATTCACTTTGATTTTCATTACAAAAATTTAATTAGACCACCAAAATAATGGTGTGAAATAATATCTGGTGAATTTTTTAAAGGAAGTTTAAGAGATTATCTAAAAAAAAAATTAACAATAATTTAAAGCAACATAAATCTGATTTTAATATGTCCTATTTTTATATTATTAAACTGTTAAAAAAAAACGAAATCTATCCATTCATACGAGTCCTCTGTCGGCCGGGAAAGGCGTTTACGAGCGCCTGTAATCTCTTCTGCGACGGCGCCCTCGACCCGCTCGAAGGATCACATTGAGCACCATCTGAGCACCAAACTGCTCTCCGGTATTTTTTAAAACAAATTTCCTCCAATTTTATTTGGGACTTCAACTGTTCTAAATTTTATTATTTGGGCCTTTGACCTATTCCGCTCGCTTGCTGTGAAATTAGGTCGGAGGGACGAAACAAGGAATTTCCGCTAGTCACAAAAAAGAGCTGTGGGTGCGATATTGATTTTTCACAATGCTCAAGTTCGCGAGTGTTTTGGTTTTTATTTTCGCCGTTTCGGCGGCCGAGTACGTTCCAGCACTAGTTTGGCAGTTCGGGTAAGTTTGGAATTTTCATTTTGCACAGAAATTTTTAAAATCATAGAAAAAATTCAACCATATTGCTCCAGTGTTATGAATGACGATCACATGACGGTCTTATCTTTCAATGCTGAAAACAAAAAACAAACGAATACAAAAAAAAAATACGCGGACCGTTTCAAATCACCATTATTAAAAATAACATTTTAAATAAAATTTTTAATTTTATTAAAAATTACATTTTTTTTTAATGGTTCCAGCTCGGAAATCGACCCGGTCAAAATCGAGCCTGCATTGCACAAATATTCCACTGACAAATTCAAAGATTTGGTGACAAAACTAGCAACCAACAAGGACCTAGTTCTTGTGTTTGCGGAAGAAAATGTAAGATAATCTTTAAAAAAAAAAAATTCAATTTGGTTAATAAATAATTATTCTGAAATTTTCAGTTGAGTGTGGAGGATTTTAACTGGCAGGACGTTTACGGCCAGTCGTCTTTCCCAAAGCTGAGTGATTATTCCGCGAGGCCCAACACAAACTTCTACTCTCACGTCGAGGACCCTTTCATTGCCCTGATGGATCTTCAGGGCGCCCAGTGGTCCGACACGAAACTCGATCTTGACCTGCCATCGAAAATCTTGAGCAGAAAACTTAGCTCGCAGTTCGTTTTGGTCAACATGGACGACGCGGCTGATTTTGAGGACAGGCCTAATTTCCTCAAACGTCATGGTATTAATTTTTTAATTGTTAAAAAAATTTGAAAGTAAACTTTTCTCAATATAGATGAAATCGTCAGTCGGGCCTTGGAAGCGGCAAAAAGTTCTTACGACAATGTCCTGGCGATTTACACTGGACACCACTCGTCCTGGACACCTGAAGAGATGACAATTAGGAGGGTCCGCTCCCTATTGCAAGCTGAAGAACCTGCACTCAACGCCTCCAGATTCATCAACGCTGGCAACCTGACCTACTTGTATTATTCATCCCCACCTAATGCCACGCTTGGAGATACCTCGTAAGACAGATTATGATTATTTTTTACAATTTTTTTTCATTTGGTTAAAAACTAATAAAATAATTTTATGAATAAAAAGGAAAAAAAATAAAAAAATAAATTTTCAAGCCGAAATTTATATTATAAAAAAATGGAAATTTAACCTAATTAATTTTAATCTATAATGAGATTTTCAATATTTACCTAATAAATTATTATTTTCAGCATTTCTTTGGTGAACCTTTTGGAGGCAAGAGTGGAGCAAGAAGAAGATTCTCCCATAACCCTTTACTTAACATATGACCATGAGGGAACCAACTTCACCGTTATGTAAACCATTTCCTTAATATGGCTCAGCACTTTAAATACTAATTTCCTCCTAAATAGTTTCCCATTTGCTGAGAGAACAGCTCGCTACTGGAATTTGGACAGGATTTCCGTCCAGTACGGAAGTGACGAGTACCAACTGGGATCTTCAGAAATATACGCGCCTTTCGGCTTTTCCTACCACTGCAGTCTGGACACGACTTTCTCCAACAAAACCACCAATGACGTCACAAACAGCATCACATTTACCGACTTTCAAGTAATATTTTCCTGCAAGGTTAAATTCGAACGTTTAATTTTCTGATTAATTTTAGATTGAGCCTCAGCCACCAAATGTAGAAGAAACTCGTTTTAGCGACGCATACGACTGCATCCCCTTCTTCACAATGGCCATTTGGTCCGGCATTTTGGTGTCTATCATCCTCATTCTTTTCCTCACTATGGGATTAATGATGATCCTTGAGATCAAAGTCATGGACCGATTTGACGATCCAAAAGGAAAAACCATTACTATTAATGCTGGGGAGTAAAAAGCAAATAATATATTTTGAGTCATTCTTGTTCCTATTTTTTTTAATTTACAGTATTTGTGCCATTTTTACTTATTTATTTAGGTTTTCAAAGTGCCATTCCAATTTTTTTTTTATTACTTTATACAAAGAATTTAAAATTGTTTGTTAAAATGTAAATGTTTTGAGTATTCAAAATATTGTTGAACAATATTGCGCAGCCCTTGAAAAAAGAAGTTGTCCTTGTTTGAACTGTGATCCTGATAAACTAAAGTTGATACTTATATCGCCCCAATAATAATGTGCATAAATTATAACAATAGTAATCATCTTATCAAAATATATGAAGTTGTTGTTAACGTATTAAAAAGGACTTGCGACAAATAATTAATAAAATTCCAAAACTTGCCAGTTGACAAACCTTATGTTGTAATGCATTTTAATTTCAGTAAAGAATGCTCATTGCTCATTCTCCGAATTTTCCTGAAAAAAAAAAACTGAATTTAAAAATATCTTATTGGAAAATTTGAGACGGATTTCTAAAGAAAAAAAATCTATAAATTGCCTCAAAAATTATTATTCTTACTATTTTAAAGCAATTATCAACATTTCCATGAAATAAATTTACTAAATAAATAAATCAAATATTAAACAAGATAATATTTAGCATATTTGTAAAAATCAATTTTGTCTCGCCAGCAAACGATAAATAAGATAAGATTGTGGCTTTGCACGAGCCTACGTTTTCCTCCGCACCAATCTCGAGATTAACAAAAGGGCAGGTTTCAGACTTTGACTCGTGAGTTTGACAAAAAGCGGCGTCTCCGGTGCCACAGTCAACAACAAAAGGACGGGTCATGAGTGAGTGAGTGCGCCGCTTTTGATGCGATTTTATTACGGAATTATCTCCGGGTACAAAGTACGTTGTGGTTTGTTGCCTTTGCGTGCGTACAAACACTTTTGTATTTATCGGCGGGAGCGACTTTGTGAGAAAGCTCACGCGTGCATTAGTGTTTGTATATATATTTACACATACGTTTGTATCTTTCTCTGTCGCTCGCGCACTGATGTAAGAAAGCAAATGAGTCGTCCTAGTTAGCGCGACGAGGAGAGGTGTGGGCAGCGAACGCGAATAATTATCCTCGCGATTGAGAGGCGCGTTAGTTAGTAGCGGTCAACAGCAGAGAGAAGTAGAAAATAAAATGCAGCCGCTCCGACCGACTCTCGGCAAACTCCTCGCCAACACATTTATAACAAAGGTAAATCTTAATTAAACTCGGCCATAATTTAAATTAGAAAGACTAGTTGATTTTAGTTCAGTGCCGAAAAAGTTGTTTTACAAAAAAAAAGGAAAGGCCGTAAATTTCAATTTCGTTCGTCTGCTGGAGCCGAGCCAGTTTCGTTTATTATTAGAGAATTTACATATTATACAGTGTTGGTCGTCGGGAAAAATATTTTCACTCGTTGCTTGCTGGTTTAATTGTAATTATTATTGTTAGTCCACTGTCAAGTTGAATGCCAAATCTTGCTTGTTTCGAAATCGCTTCTTAGCCGAGTCTTGATGTCGGCGCCAAAATCTCGGCGGTGAAATTTTTATGCACAATGAGCGCGTCTGCACACGCTTTTGCTATTTAATTGCCACTCTGAAACGAGAAGAGTGGCGGAGGATATTAAGACACGCGACTGCATAGTTGAAGGCTAATAGCTCGGCTCGGCTCCGACCACACAACGCGTTCGCGCCGGTCGAAGTCCTTATGGAACGAAATTACCAAGAGCGAGACGTTGTCTAATTAAATGTTCTGTTCATGGGGATGGAGCAATTAGGGCAATTAGGAAATTCATTTATAGGCGACTCACTCAAATATACAGCAAATAAATGAGGCGCACAGCAAAGTATGAACAATTTCTTTGTATTTTTTTTTGTTCATTTAAAAAAAATATTTTAGGATAATGCATATTTCAATAACATGTTATCTGGATAAAACAAAGGAAAACGCACAGATAAGAAATTTCCTTGATTTTTTCCTTCCTCCTCTAGTAAGGCAAGTGGTCGTGTATTTATGGCCTCTAAATAAAACTCGGCAATGAGTTTCAGTGAGCTTTTGTGGTTTTTCACTCAACCAATTGTTCCATTCAATTAATTATTCATACGAGGTATATTAATAAATTAAATTAATGTGGACTAATTTAAATCTTTATTTAGAAAAACTAATTTACTTTTCTTTAATTGTGGAGTTTTAAATTAATGTAAATTAGGAATCGTAATGATGATATAAAATTGGAAATATTTGTGACAGAAAAAAAATAATAAAAATTACAAAGAATTAATTAATTTTTGAATAAATAAAAAAGCAATTAAAAAAAAATAAAACAAAACCAAGATTAACGATTTGCCAATCGCGACAGAAGTCGTAAGTCGCCAAAGCACTGTCCGCAAGGACAGCAATAATAATTCCTAGGACTCAGTTTGAGTGTCTGTTTGTTGACTTATACTCGTTTTCTTTGAGATCAAACGCAGTCATCGAAAGCCAATTAGCGAGGAGACCCTGCCTGCTCAAGCTCCCGGTTTATATAGATTTATGTCCGAGCAAATATTTCTGTCTTTTGCAGGTGCACCAGAGAAGCGGTTCTTCGGCGGCGGCCAAACTCGGCGTTCACCCCCAGCAACGCCGTGTGGCCGTTTCGCGCGCCCGCCTCCAACGCCACCTCGAGCTCACCTGGCTGCAGGGTAGCTCTTCCAGCTTCCCCTTGACGTGGCTCAGGGACAACTGTCAATGCCCAAAATGCTTTCACCCCGACTCAAAATCACGAACCGTCGATTGGGCCACTTGCGACATCACAATCAAGCCCAAAGAAGTTCAGGTAAAGAATAGAAATTATTTAAATTTTGGTTTAAAATATATTTCTTAAATAAATAAAATAAAAAATCCCTACATTTGGAAATTTAGAGAAAAAAATACTGAATTTTTGCAATGAACAAATTTCAAACTCAATTTGACCTCGAATTTTTAAAACAATTGTTGATTTTTTTGCTTAAAATAATAATTTCTATTGTTGATAATGAAATTTTATTTTTAATTTATAAAAATTTAGTTCTTTGTGTTTCTAGTTGAATATAAAATATTTTGAAGCATTTAAAATAAGATTTTTGCGGTTTGATATGTGCAGGGTCAGCCTATCTTGGTTTCCTCTAGTTTTATTTCTAGAGGAAATTGGTCATTTAAATTATCAAAACACTTATAAAATCTGGTTTTAAAATAATTACAGGCTGTCAAAAATTATAATATTTATCAATGAAAAAAAAAATTGAAGTAGTCTATTAAGAAGTGACGTTGATCCCTATTTTGATAATTTAATTATCTCCCTTGCAACGATTATAACATGACATAAATATTTTTCTTATAATCTGAACAATAATCTTAGGAATCTAAAGCTGAAATAATAACGGCACATGTAGTGTTCAAAGTTCATGCGTCTTATCACGTCACAAAAAAAGTTTCAGCAATTAGTCAAGAGGTCCAAAGCAAAGATCAAAGAGCGTTTTCTGCAACTTATTGACATCACCATCCAAGTCATGTTAATTAATTACGTCTGATTGAAAAGCAAAACAAACGCGCGTCCCCGGGAGAGTGATGATGAAAGAAAAAGGAGCTGAAGAGAGAAAAAGCAACAAGATCGATGTGTTACTTTGCGAGAAGACGGGCCGCAATTTCCTTTCATATTTCCTCCGCGCCGAAAATCGATTGCCCTCCGCGAACATAAGCTATAGGATTTTAAATAAAACGCGTTCTGACGTTTTATCGCTTCCAATAACAGCAGCAGCCAAGTTTTCGTTCGGTTCGCGTTGTAAAGCTTCTTCTTCGGCGATCACTTTGCCAACTTTTGGCGAAAGCTAAAGCGATTTTGAGCTTTGAAAGATGCTCCGTCGGCATGATGCATTGCCAAGAAGAAGAAACTTTGCCCGGAAAGCTGAGCTCGCAAGAAGCCCTTTGGTTTTCAACTCGGCCGTCCGGGTTGGTTATTTATTTAATTACATCTAGAGGAGAACCCCGTGCCTTCCTTCATGTTAGCCCTGGGTACACGTGGGTGTGTGGTGTGTGCTTACCCACCTGGACGGCAGAAAAAGAAAGTCGCCTCTGTTTCTTCTGGAGATTAGACGGAAGCACACACAGTCTGTGTGCCGAAGCGGGTTTTGCCAAAAGTACACACACGTTGCAGGGTGAGCATTCAATCAACAAGCGTGTGGGTGTGGGGGCGTTTTAATTCCTCATGAGTGCGGGTTCACGCACCAGTTAAGTCTCCGGAGACTTTTCAAGCAGCATTTAATTAGGTGTTTTGGCGAGGAAAAAGATCTCGATTTCATCAAAATCAACTTCCATTCGTTTTCCTTGAATTTTCAATTAATCAATGAGAAGAAACTTATTTTCGTTTCATTCATTAAAAATTGTTCCTCCATCTATAATAAAACGAAACAACACAAACTATTTAGGTGAGGGACAGTATTTTTTATAGGATTTTTTTTTTAATATTAACAATCATTGATGATGAAATATTGAGATGAGATTAATATTTTTGAAGCCTGCGCTATTTTAATCATACTTTTTTTTCTTTTGCTGAGCAAACTCCATGCCACAAACTTTGATAAAACTTGCAAATTTTTCATTTTTATGGGAATTTTCCGTTAGAATTTAATTAAATAATAATAATAATAACTGGATATGATTCAAATTTAAAATTTGTAGTGGTAATACAAAATAGTTGAAAAATTTGGTGCAGAAGGGACAATAATTTTATTGAAAACTTTTGAAGACATTAATTGTTCTTAACAAACATAAATTTTCTATTATATAATTTAATTTTTTATTTCCGCATTCAATGATTGATTTTAATTAATTTTGTTTGTCCCCAAACAACTCTGAACAATCAATTATAAAAAAATTTGTCGGGAAGAAAATATGCACATAGAGTGCTAGTGAACAATTTACTTAAAATCATAATGGAGTATTTACCGAGAGGCGATAACTCGCTGCAGTGCAATTACATAATGTTTGATTTTAATTATTAATTTTATAGGGATTTCAATTTTAGGAGAATTCCGCCAGAAATTTTGATGCAAACTCAATTATTACTTTTGTGTGTCAAGATTGTGGGATTTCATCTTCAACCTTAAATAAATTACCGTCATTTAATAAAATTAGAATTTATTTTTAAACCAAAAAATATTACTTAAAGATCTTAGAATTCAAGTCTATTGAAAATATACATAAATAAATTTATAAAAAATTGATTTTATCTCTAATTTTTAGCTTTTTCCTTTCCAATATATATTACAGCCCCTTCAAATCTAATTAGTATATCTTTTTGTAATTTGTTGGAGAGCTCAATTCAATTATTGCAATGTAAACTCGGCGCATTTACGCCCCAATGAGATTATACCCCTTCGTCACGGTAAACACGAGACGGGGCTCGAGCTGCTTTGATCCTTGTTGCGAAGCAACACGATTATCCGCAGCAGAGATCGCGTCTCGCGCTGCGTCCCCCAGGCGCAATTAAATTGACCATCTCCTCTTTTATTGTGTGTCTCTCGATCAGGTTTCCGACGACGGCAAAACCGTGATTGTGGACTGGCTGGACGCGCACAGCTCTCGCTACAGCGCCGAGTGGCTGCACTCCCGACGCTTTGAAGAGGACGCCAGGAAAAAGTGGCTGTCCACCTACAAGCAAGAAAAGGAGATTTGGCAGTCGGCCGAGGAAACAGAATTTCCGCGAAAGAGGTTAGAATTTAAAAAAAAATTATTAAATCTGCAACTGTAGCAATTGAAAAAGTTGTGAATTCTGTATAGAAATTTATAAAAAAAAATCTTGAAATAAAATGTAAAATATATATTTTCATTTTTTTTCTTTATTATTTTTTACTTGAACAAGTTGGCACTCGAGGGGATGATTATGGAAATGAAAAGATCAGGCTTTTCTCCTTGTTGCAGAAAATAGTTTTTATTCAAAAAACAAATTTAATTAATGTTTTTTTCTTTTTAATGAAAAAAATTTTCTGCAGCGAGAAAAAAGCCCGATCTCTTCATTTCCATATTTTATTTTTTATATTTTCATATATAAAAATTTTTCATTTTTTTTAATAAATAAGAAAAAGTAAGAATAAAACATAAAATACTGCATACAAATGTTACATTAGAAAAATATTATTTTGTAAAAAACAGTTAAAATAATGTGATTTCCCTTTGACCAGATTTAGCTTTGAAGGTGTGATGAGTGATGACGGCCAACTTCTTCAGTGGATGCTCGAGTTGGAACGGTTTGGAGTGGCCGTCCTTGAAGGCGCAGGGTGCGACGATGAAAGGACCGTCAGAAAACTGGCCGACAGGGTGGCCTTCATTCGCCGAACGCACTACGGCGAGGAATTCAGCGTCAAGTCGAAAATGGAGCCAAGCAACGTCGCCTACACTGGACAGGCATTGCAGCTTCACACCGATTTGCCCTATTACGAATACAAACCTGGGGTAAAAAAAGACAAAAAAAATATTTCCAGTAAAATTAATTTATGCTATAAAATATTGTCAATTCTAAATCTAAAGACTTTATTAAAATTAAAAAAATCTAGGATTTGTTTGTTTCATTTTTAAATAATTGAAATTAATTAAAAATTTTTTATTGATACTTTTTAATGCCATTTTTTTAATTATTGATAATATTTCTAGGTCAATATGTTGCACTGCTTGGTGCAAGCTGAGGGCGAGGGCGGTGAAAACCAGTTGGTGGACAGCCTCAGGGTCGCCGGTCAACTCAAGCAGAGCCACCCTGAGTTCTACAAAGCCCTTTCGACCATTCCCGTTGACTGGACTGACGAAGGCGTGGAGGAAGGCAGGCCCTTCCGCAGTCTCTACCGGGCTCCGGTTATTTGGTAAATTTAAAATTTAATGAAAATAAAAATTAATTTATTATGCAATTAATAAAATTAAATTCCAGTGAGGATTCAACTGGGAAAGTATTTAGGGTAAACTACAGCCAGCCGCAGAGAGACTCGCACTTTTCTGTGCCAGTGGAGCAGGTTGAGACGTGGTACTTGGCCTTAAAACAGTTCACGCAGTTGATGCTGAGAGCGGACAATCGCGTAGAGTACAAAGTGAAACCAGGCAAGTAATTCTTGTTATTGTTTCATTATTTGGAGTGTCCGTTTTAATTAACGGGTAAGAAATTTGGTTTTTTTCACTTTTTATAAAATTATACCCCTAAAGATGAGATTTAATTTTACCAAGATTAATAAATTTCTGTTTAAAAATTTAATGGGTTCTAAAATATTAGTTGAAATTAAATTTTAATCGCAGCAAAATCCTCAACATGCCTTATTGTAAGGCTAAAAATTTGTTCTAATGATATTTTTGTTTTAACTTTTTTTAAACCAAAAAAAATCTGATTCACTTTTCCCTTTTTATTTAAATTTAGAGCTAGAATTAATGCAAACACTTTGAAATTTAGTTTTTATTCAACCTTGTTAGTTAAATGTTAATTTAAAAAATTTTGGTTGCGTAATTAAATCTTTGATATTTACCGGAAAATTTAAATTAAATTGCATCAATTTAGCTTTTGAGTATAAAAAAATTGAGCCATTTTCAGTATATTGCAACGGTTGAAGGCGCTTTAATGGGGATATACGACATCACAATAAATAATGCAAATTGGCAATTGAGAGGCACGTCGACCGTGCTAAGTTTTCACTTCCAAATCGCTTCGGACGGTATATAATTGACAGGCTAAGCGCATGATAGGATTTTCCCGGCGTGCCATTAAAAGGGCAATAAAGGCTCGCAATCGGCGCTCAGAAAATCGAGTCACGACACACACTCGGCTTTGGCCCGAGAATAATAAAACCAGCGGATTAATACGGTCGTTGCTTTTTTCCATTTGATTTCCAGGGGAAATTCTGAGCTTCGACAATCTGCGCATCTGCCACGGCCGCAGCGGCTACACGCCGGCAGTGAATCAAATCTACGAGCGACACATCGTCGGCGCATATCTCGACTGGGATGAAATCAGGTGCAGAATCCGAGTGCTCAGCCAAAGGGAACAATAATAAGGGGGAGGACCGACTGGAAATCCGGTGATAGTGAAAGCGCGGTGGAAATAATTGTGTGAATTGCAAACTTTTCGAGTGTTTTATTTTGTTAAATAAAAATTTATGCTTTTTGATATAAAAAATCAAACGAAATCTTATTCCTCTTACAATTAGTCAGATCGGCGGATAGATTAGCATCGTCAAAATCGAACGCTCGCTCATTTCTGCTCTCATTTGCCGAGATATTTAAATTTTCACAGCTAAAATTTTCAACCAGAGTCACTTCCTGGATTAAATTAAACGTCTATAGACCTTTAATCCTAGACTCGCGTCTATTTCAGGTGATTGCGGACACCAGGTGAAATTGAAATATTGAAGAAAATAAGGACGTTAAATAAAAAATTTATGTAAAAAGCTGAAGCGCCGAGATATTTAAATATTCACAATTAAAATTAAGAAATTTTCAACCAGAGTCCCTTCCTGGATTAAATTAAACGTCTATAGACCTTTAATCCTAGACTCGCGTCTATTTCAAGTGATTGCGGACACCTGGTGAAATTGAAATAATATTGAAGAAAATAAGGACGTTAAATAAAATTTAACTTCTGGTCTGGTGTTTTCCTCGATTTACACCAGACATTCCAGGTAAATAGTTCCTATTCGTAGGCAGCAGCCGATTATCTCTTCCTCATCCTTGAAATTCCCAAAAACCAAACACATCCTATTCTCCTTTCGCCCCGGCCCAGGGGATCGGACCATGAGATTTAGCAAGCCTGTCAATACCGCTGGTGCCATTCCTGATAGGGATAGACAAATAAATAAATAAAAATGAACAGTATAGCAAAAAGAGCTCCATAGTTTTAAAGTTTCAGTAAGTTACCTCTTTATAATTTTTGACGCCTTTGAATACATAGTTAAAAATTAAGTGAGCATTTTGTAGAATTTTTATAAATTTTCCTTTGATAAAAATAAAAAGCGTTCAGAGAGCGCTGTAAAATAAAATTATAGAAATGAATTATGATATACTTGAAACACATGATAGCAGTTAAATTTAATTCTATACTTTCACCAGAAATGCTTGGAAAGAAGGGAAAATCGCCTGCTCAAAAAATCTTGGATGGTTGCCAAATAAATTTATCAGATATTCTAATCTTGTTTATTCCACATCAAGAGCAGATCAAGAGTTGCATACATTTGGAAAATATTCACTTTCATTTTTATTTTAATATGTATTTGTGTAAAAAAAATAAATAAATAAAGTTTATATGCTTTCTTTACTCTTCACTCCTAAAAATTTTATTTCTAAATTCATGAAAATTGCGGTGACCCAGAAAAATGTGCGGTGGTGCCGAATGCACTCGCTGCGCTATCGATTGCCATTGTTCCAAATGAGTGCAGTGCAGCCGGGGGATGAGTGGGGTGCGAGCGACTCTCGGGCAGGCGCCACCCCACTGCGCCAAATTCCGCTGGCAAAGAACGAACGCCGGCGCGTGTTTTTCTTTCGGCTGCAAACCGCCGCTCGGTCATTGTTGCGTACACGCGGTTTTTGCATCATGACCAACTTTCCGCTCTCGCAACGGGGTGCCTCACCTTCCTGCCAATGCGAAAGAAAAAGTGTCGCCGCGCGAATTCTCTCCGCCGGCGCGCGGCAGTTATATTTACCGTTTGATAAGGAAATTGATGGGTCTCTTCGGGAGAGCAGCCTCTTTTTTCCTCCGCGCCAGATGAAAATGATGGCAGATGCGGCGCTGCTCCGGGACGACATTTCTTGATTAAAATGTGCAAAGTTGCTACCCACGTGAGCTGTGTTGCTGTCAAAAAAGATGGCAAAAAAGACAGATCGTAACTTAAAGAATAAAAGAGGAAAAATTATTATTTTATTTTGAGGTGAAATTTTAAAATTCAGTTAATTCTGTAGGTCAAATTGCACTTATAAAATTAATGTATATTAGTGAAATTTTTAAGATAAAGCTTAAAATTGTAGACTAAATCTACAATCCACAAGTCCAGATTCTAGAAAATATAAATACAAAATCAAATTTGTATCAAAAATAATTTTATTTGTCACAGTGAATTTTTAAAAGTTAATCAAGGGTTTATTTAAAAAAATTTATTCCCAAACAGCATTGTGTACGGTACACCCCCACCTCCGACCCCTCTCGCCCTGCCCTTGTCATGTCAGCAGCAGCACTAGCGCCACTAGCAGCAGCAGAATAATTATGGCAATTATATGCAACTAATTACAAATGTAAACATTACGGCGCCGGCGTTGTTTCGGTTGGATTCACGCGACCTCGCCACCCTTCTGCGTTTAACTCGTTTTAGGGTTCCTCAGACCTGACCACCGCATGGAAGCTGAAGACTGACCCGACCCTGTCCCTCAGGTAAGGTTTTAACCACGTGATTCACGAGGCCGACTTTTGTTTGATCTTGCTTGTGACATTCCTGTCGTTTTGCAGTTTGCATTTAATGCATCATAGACAAGTGACTAAGTGAGCGGCGAATTACCAAAATTACTATAAATTCAATCAAATCCTGCTCAATTGCGGAAAAATAGAGATAAAGATGCGACATCAAAGTATAGCCGGTGAGAAAAATATTTGCGTCATGTTTACTTCACCAATATTTCCAGCCGACCATTTTCATTTACCAACCACAGAATATCATGCTCAATTATAATTTGCATGCTCAAAGAACAGTTTCTTAAAAAAAGCACACACACTCAAAAGTGATTCTAAAAGCTGATTTTAAGTCAACACTTTTTATATTTCGAGTGCTGACACATAAGAAAAATCATGGCTCTTGATTAATGTGATCTTACAAACATTTTTTTAGATTCTTTTCAAAATTACCAAGTCATAAAACATTATAATTATTATAAATAATTTTGGAACCAATTTTGTCTGACCGTACGCTCAAAATTTTTAAATTTTTCTGCATGCAGCTTCCTATCCCATGCTAGCCATCCAAGAACTTCTATTCCTCTACCTCTTCCATCTCAACGGCATCACTGAGAACCTGAAAATTGGAGATCACGTCGAGCGTGCCCTGACCAAGATCGCCCCCGAGGTGGTGCTGAGCGCAACGAGCATAAGGTCAGTGAATAATTTCTTGGTTATATTTGATATTTTTCCTTCTTAAAAGTTCACTTACATTTTGAAATTATTCCTCTTGACACACGTTACCATTTTTAACCTGAGGCGCCATCGGGTTTTATCAAGGCGACTTTTGATAACAAAAATGAATCAATACATTGCGACCTTTGATAAATTTGTAAGTTTTTTAACAATCACAGCTGGTCCAATATAATTTTGTTGAACAATAAGTATGCCAGTTTCTGGGGTCAGTAGTCAGTTATTCTACTAGTTATTATATTGAGCATAAAATTGAGCTCATTTCTTTTTTCTTTCAAAGGAGAGACGAGCTGAATTTGTTCGCTCTTTTTATTGTGCCCCTTTTTTTATAATAAATCATCACATTTCTTTCCAGCCAAAATAATAATCCACTTTAACGGCCTTTTTATCGTGTTGAGGGGACGGAGCTGCTCACGGTGCTGAGAGATAATAAAATAATAAACCGGCTCGTTTCAGAGTCCTTGAAAGTGCAATGAAAAAGCGGATGAGAAACTCTCTCTCCAACCCTTTCCTGTAGCGACACCGATCCGGCGTTCGGTATAAATATAATTTTTCCTTAAGGAAGTAGAGATATTTTTTCCTTTGGCGAAAAAATTCGCGTGCGACTAAAGTTCTTTCTTCATCTCCCGGGGCGAGAACTGCACTCGAGTTGCATTGCATGCGATTATTTTTTCTCGCCGGCAGGGATGGAAGGGGGTGGACCACTCGCCAGAGGGTGTCACGGCCTTGGCCCAGTTCTTGCTGCTGCTGTGCCGACTCGGAGGCAGAGGCAGAGAAATCTCCTTATAAACTTTGAAAGTGAGATGGCTCATGCACACTCACGCTTTGTTTTGCTCTCAACACGTCGTTTTTGCATGCAAATCACGCAGAGATGTTGCTTTGTTCGGGGAATTAGTCGGTTCAGAGCGAAATGAGCAGAGCTTATTGTTTGTTTTGTTTTTCCTAAATGATGCACCGACGCGCTTGTGCATTTTAATTTGCAAGACAAAAAGCGAAAAGATTGTCTTGTTTTTTAAAATACATGGTACATTTTTTTAATTTAATTTAGAAAATTTTGTACCACGAATGAAAAAATAGACCTGCATTAGAAATTATAATTATGCTGTGATTTTCACTACTAAATTTTATTGATTTTTAATTCAATTAAATGATTAGATGTCAACTTAAAGCACATAAATGTTATAGTTTGTGTAATTATAAATTGCTAGTAAATTTATAGCAAAATAATTTAAAATTATTTTAATAGATTAAAATTACAATATTCATTTTTAAGCAAAAAAGTTTTTTAAAGTTTCTCTCTCCAGATATTTCATATTTTAATATAAATTATAGAATCTAACCCAGACTTTGAAGTTAAATAATGTCATTTTATTCAAATTTCCATTTATTATTTTAACTTTAAAATTACTTAATAACCTAAATAATTGTTTGCAAATATTAACCGAAATAATTAATAAGTTGATTCAGTTTTACTTGCTGAAAACTAACTGAAAGCACCCCAAACTTATATAGTTAATTATTATCAAAACCTGTAGTTTTCCACAGCAATATAACCACCTACTGACAAATGGGCCATTGTTCCATTTGTGAGTCACATTGTTGCCAAAACACTGGTTTGTGTGCGGCAGGTGTGCATAATTCAGAGCGAAAGCAAAGCCGCCGGCCTTATTCATCATTAATGAGGACGAATCCTCTTTCCAATTACAGGGCACGCAGTCAAACGCTCGAGTGCCTCTCTAGCTTTCCGCAATTTCGCTTGCATATAATTTCGCAGGGATACACCAAGGAATAAATAATTACGGCCAAGTGCGTACGCCCGCGCGCATACATTTGCCACTGCACGCCCCTGCGGAGTTTGTTCGCCGACCGAGCACACGTTCTCACGGGCAACCGTATTATTAATCCGTCGGGCGCCGCCGCTATAATAGGCCAAAGTTATGTGTGCATGCATGTTCACCGAGCCAATGTGTGCGCATTGCTGCTGCGGTTTTAATTAATCCAGAAT